GGGGGGGGGGGGGGGGGGGGGGGGGGGGGGATTGTTCTGTGATGTGACTTATTTGAATGACAGTATTCAATCAAAACTATTCCATGAAGACCAAACAAGATGTTTGTTACCTGGAATGTGGAGTATATGGATATGCACAAGCCAATATAATCTTTTGATGCTAAAGCACCTAATTGTCCCTCTCCGGTGAAAGATGAAAACACTACAAAACTGTAATGTAATTGTACTTGGTTCAGTTTCACATCCTCTCCCCCCTTTATTAGCCTTTTTCTCTAGCCCAGATACTTTTAGTTTGCAACTAAATTACTTATTTTAATTAATCAGTTATATATGGTGACAATACAGGGTTTGAAAATTGGAAGCTTCATCTCATTTCCAATGCAAGGCCCAACATACATATCCTGATGGAACTACTTATACATTAAAAGCAATGAATCCTGTTAATGACCGTACAAATGAGAAGGCTTATAGCTTCTATGCTCCACTGATGGGTGTCCTCAACGTTATTATTACAATCATTTCCAGATATTGCCTGGTTAAGTATTGTGGCTTTAACTTCTCTTGATGGCCAATGCTCACCCCAAAATCAAGCTAATAGTATGTGTAATAATGAATGCAGATAAACTGTGAAGAAGATCAAGGAAGGCAACAGATCTAAATTGCTCTGTGTTACACGTAAATCTAAAACATTCCCACAAGCTGTATGAAATATTCTTTACCATCTGTAAGCTAAAATCTAAGATTAGAACACAATCCCCAATCCATGGCCGGCTCAACAGTAGCATGGGCTTTTAGCCCTACATATTATAAAGGCCCCAAATTTTAGCGTTCAATAATGAAATATAGATGAAAGATTAAAATTCATTACAATTCAGCTTAAAAAAAAACTCCATAAACTCTCATCATATGATTTCAATTTCAGAAAAACAAAAAAGGAATTAAGACTCACACAGAGACTGTCATAGAGAGAGAGAGAGAGAGAGAGAACCTGGGATGCTTGTGGCTTCGAAGAGGAGGCGGCAAGAGAGGCGAGACTCTCTGACACTCAACGAGTAAGAGGCACTAGGGATCGATCGACTGAAAAAAGCAAAAATAGGCGAAAGTCTTTGTGCACACATTAACACATATATATTTTGTAGGGTTAATTCATTTTGATCTCTAACGTTTCAATTGCATCAATTTAATCCCTGAAGTATTTAATATGTTTCTATATAGTCCTTAAATAGACAGTGTCTAAATTACTAATAATTTTATATCACAAACTTACCACATGATACTTAAAGGTGGACTAAAAAATAATTTGAATAAGTCTTGAATAAATTTTTACTCAAATTTTAGTCAAATACCTACTTAATTTACACAATTTTGATCATAAGTTATCTAAATTTTGGTCAAAAACTATCTATATTACACATTTTTTTGTCAAGAACTGGCCAAATTTTGTTTAAGAGCTATCAAAATTATTTTTTGTCCATATTTAGTTATTATGTGACAAGTTTATAATAAAAAATCGTTTGTAATCTAGACGTTGTCAGTTTGAATGATCATATAGAAACATATTTAATACTTTAGGGATTAAAATTATGCAATTGAAACATTGGAGATCAAAATGAGACAAACATCATACTTTGGGGACTTCTAGTGTAATTAATCCTATTTTATATATATTTTATAAGATTAACAGTATTTTTGGTTCTAAGTATTTTTTATCAATTTAATTGTCAATGTGTATTTTGGTTTTTATATAAATGGACGGTTAAGTTTTTGATAGAAATCATATATTGAACACGTGATATTATTTAAAAAAATAACGCATGGTTACTTTCCTCAAAAAATTTAACAATTTATCAATATAAGGACTCAAATGACATAAATTAAATAATTTAATGATCAAATTAATAAAATTAATACATTAATGACTAAATTGATAAAAAAATAAATAAATACTTTAGGAAAAAATAAATGTTATTAACCCTATTTTTTTAAAAAAATATATATTTATTATAGTAGCGCGATCATAAAAATTCTGCATTGTAATTTTTAGTAAATACTTTTTACATAGATCGTTGGATTACAATCTGATGACTACCAAATAAAGATGCTCAAAATTTATTGTCAAAAGCTTTGGCTATCAGACAATTTTATCTCATATCTACATTACTCATCTAATTTATTATACCCGTTTGAATAAAAAAAAATTAAAAATACCTCCCCAAACCCACCTCCTCTCGCGTCAAATTCCTACCTACTATAACTCTTATACTCAAGCCCTCATGACTATTCTTGTTATCTATTCATTGACTTAGGCAATTTCGTCATGATTCATGCCCTCTGCTGCACTTAAGCTGCTAGAGTAGTTTAATCAATAATTGATCACTTAATTGTTTAATTGATTAAATAATAGGTTGTTAAAGGCTTTGGTGACCTAGCTTCTAGGTTAAAAGTGTAAAAGTGATTGTATTGATGAGTTAGGTTCGGCATATTAATTTAATAAGCCGGTGTCATTTTTTGAATTTCAATTTAATACTTAAGCTTTTTTTTTATTGGGGATAAAAGTGTAATATGTTCGTCAAATTTCACTCTATAGATATTATTTGTCCATGTCTTTTTAAAGTTGGTAATCAATTACAATTTTTTTTTCCCCGGAAGTAATTTGATGTGTAATTATATTGTATCAATTCAACAAGTTTTTTGTGCAAGTGTAGAAAATTGATATAGCGACAAATATAGAAGGGATTAAAATCATATCTTCTGTGTCTACCGATGTAAAACCATTTTTTTATGAAAGAATTCAATTTTATTGATGAAACATTTACTTTTTACAATGCCTATGCGAGGATTTCTGATATGCAATCCTAATTTTAAACTTAATAAACACTAATAATTGTAAATTTGTGGTATTAACAGGACAAAGTAGTGTTTATATAATGAACCAAAAAAAAGAAAAAGAGGAATAATTGGTAATTTGACCAAAGAATTGGAAAATACTTATAACCCACTATGTTTGTTTTTATTTATTTTTAACTCAAAAAGATATAATAAATTAGATGGGTAAAACTATCGTAACAGTGCAATAGTGGTTCAGACTAGCAGTAATTATTTCACATGAAACTTGGGGAACCATTCAGTCTTTGGGTTAGAATTTTTAACAAATTGATAAAGATTAAAACCATCCGATTATTGGGTCGATCCGTTAATATTTAAGAGGAATCAAGAATTTTTTTTATTTATTAACCTTTAAGACTTTTCTTATAATACTATATCACAACTAATAAGTCATAGATATTTCATATTTAGCCAAGAACTAAATTAGGTTGGTTTTGATAATAAATTTTGAGCATCTTGTTTGATAGTCATTAGATTGTGATCCAACGGTTTATGTAAAAAGTATCCACTAAAGATTATGGTGCAGAGTTTTCATGATCGTACTACTCACATTTTTCATCTAAATTATTTTTTTCCTATTATATGACAAATTTATGATAAAAATTTAGGATCAAAAATAATATAATTAAAATATTAAAAATCAAAATAAGATAAACTCTATATTTCAAAAACCTCTAATGCAATTAACCCTATTATCAACCTCTGGTGCAATTAAACTCTAGTGCATTTAAATTTTAATTTTTGGGTTTTATTTCGTTTATTCAGGATTTTTCTTTGCTATTTTCCAAAATATCCTGTTTTTCTATTTTATAGTTCGTACAATATTTGTTATTTTCCCAAAACACCCTCATTACCATGCAGTTGTGCTTGTTTTGGTTCTTATTGTGTTTGACATTTTATTTCAGATTCCACCATGGGAGAAGATCATGACAGAAAGCCACCCCTTTTCAGCCTACACAAATCCTCAGTAGGCCTCTTTCCAAAAAAGAAACCTTCCGTAGATGTTCAGCTCAAGCTGGTTCTAGACTTACTGCGGGAGGTATTTCTTGGTTTGTTTTGTATTTCGAAGTGCATGGTGAATTCGTGGAACGATATCACCTGGCTGTTGGTGTTTATTATTACTTGCATCGGGACTTGTACTTAATACCTTGCCAGAACTCATTGGAATAGAATTCAGCTCTCACTATGTTGTTTTTGCAGAGCCCTTACTGTGGAGCAAGTATATGAAGTTTTGTAAAGTTGATGAAAATTCCAGCACGGTTGTGCTTGACCGTTTAAAGAATTATTGTAAAGTCCATTATGATGGGAGGCTATTCCAGTACAAGGTAAATCCTACTTTGATGCACATGAGGACTATGGGAGAAATATTTATCCGCCATGTGTGGAATCTTCTCTTCTAAAAATAAAAACAAATGAGATGCAAGTTATATTTTTAGATTTGTTGGAAGACAATCATTCAGGCTTCCTCTGTTTTAAAATATTTTAAATTCGCCTACGGCCCAAATATGATTTAGAGGGCATAGATCAGCTTTGTGGCCTGATAAGAAAGTTCCCGGATGGCATTGATGTGAAAGATGTGCAGGACGCATGCCCAAAAGTTTTGAAGGATTTGATGGTATATTTTCAAAATGAACTTGTTATTAAGAGCCTGAAATATCATGGTCTAATTGTTGTAGTATCAGAAACAATGGTTATTTGTACTTGTAATATTAGTAACAATATCAATGATGTTGATGATATTGTTGTAGTTCCTGAAGGCTGAAGAAAGCATATTTGGTTGCTCTCGAATGGCCACCCACATGGAGATGTTGTCTACCCTGATGACAGTAGGTTCCCCCATCAAAGTGGAGGATGACTTGAAGCGCCTATTCAGGGAAATTTCACTACCAGCTGATAGGATTGATATTCAAAAGTACCTGCATCAGAACAGCATGAAGCCTGCAACACACACCGACAACAGGCAGGTCATGACTAAAGTCCACGGTGTTCCTTCAAGCCCAAGCTTGAAAAGAAGCAGTGCAATGGCAAGAGGATAAAGAATCCAACCAATACCCACACCTTCCTGAGCTCCTCTGGGATTAAAATGGTACATGTGCTTCATACTCATAGTGGGTTGTTATTGGTACTTCAGCTTGTGAGCCTTACTGCCCCGCTTGGTCAGGGTGGGGGTTCATGTTACAACGGTGACTTGTAGATAATGGCATAGTGCAAAGGAGAGCAGTCAATGCTGTCGCAACTACTTCACAAATAATAGGATCAACATGTATTGCTTAGGTTTTGTTTGTCTTCAGAGAGAAATTTTGCCGACACAATAATGGGGTTTAACTTACGCTTAGTGCAACCAGGGTTCCTTTCTTTCTTTCTTGTTTTTTCTTGGGAGAATTATACCTAGACTCCTGAAGTTTGTCACTTAATTACTCAGACTCCTTAATATTTAAAATATTATATATAGACTTCCGAAGGTTTGTACGCGCGTAACACTTAAACTCCTGTTATAAATATATCTATTAATAAATTATACTTAGACCCCTTAAAGTTTATGGATATATAATATTTAGACTCTTTAAATTTAAAATATTATATTTAGACCAAAAATATTCCAATCAAATATAAAATATAAATTTTTTTAAATTTTAAAACTAAAATTCATGTTTTATTGTATCATTTATTGAAATAAAATTTTAATTTTTTTAAAAAAAATCGTAATTAGTATACAATTATACTATCTATTGGAATAGAACTAAAAAAATCAAAAAATGGGTTTACGAGATAGAACATGAATTTTACATCAAAAATTCATATTCTATTATGTCATTTATTGAAATAAAATCAAAAATAAAAATTTATTTTTAAAAAAAAAACATAGTTAGTATATATTTATATTGTCTATCAGAACAAAACTAAAAAATTAAATAAGAATGGACACAATATCTTTTAGATTTAATTAGGGTAGTTTAGTATTTTGATTTGGTTATTTAAACGACTAAATTAAATTTTAATAGATAATATAATTGTATACTAATTACAATTATTTAAGAAAAAATTAAATTTTTATTTTTGATTTTATTTCAATAAATAATACAACAGAACATGAATTTTGGTTGTAAAATTTAAAATATTTTATATTTTATATTTGATTAGAATATTTTTATTCTAAGTATAATATTTTAAACTTAAAGGGTCTAAGTATTATATACCAACAAACTTTAGGGAGTCTAAGTGTAATTTATTAACAGAGCCATATTTTAAATATCAAAGAATTTGAGTGATTAAGTGACAAAATTCAAGGAATCTCCCTTCTTTCTTTCTATCTTTCCTTTTTTCTTTACTGTATAGCCATTGTATTGAAGTGTAGCTATTTTTTCATGGTGTAATGAATGGCGATCTCTATAATGATGCCACTAAGACTTCAAGTTTGTCTTTAATTATGTTTCTCATAAAATGGCTCTAAGTTACTGTTTAAGTAATACTTGAAATAATTGTGAGTAAAAGGAGATCCTAATAAACCTAGGAAAAGAAATCCTAATAAACCTAGACTATCTATACTCCAACACTCCCCCTCAAGCTAGGCGCAAAAATGTCAACTAAGCCAAGCTTGACAACGGAGTCCCGAAGAATAGACAGAGTGACAGGTTTGGTAAAAACATCCGCAACTTGATCACTGGTCCCCACAAACGATGGAGTAACAAGACCACTGCTGACCTTCTCCCGAAGAAAGTGAACATCGATCTCTATATGCTTCGTTCTCTCATGTAGTACAGAGTCAGAAGCGAGCTGAATAGCAGATTGATTATCACAATATAATGTGGATGGAGAGGTCACTGAAAAACCCAACTCGTCAAGAATCGATCGTAGCCAGATAATCTCACATGTGCCAAGTGCCAATGCCCGATACTCTGCCTCTGCGGACGAGCGGGAGACAACTGCCTGCTTCTTGCTCTTCCAAGAGATAAGATGAGTCCCTCGAAAAGCACAGAAACCCGTAGTAGATCGACCATCACATGCTCCCCCATAATCTGAATCTGAATAACAGGCTAGAGAACCGGTCTGAGATCCTGATGCATAAAACAACCCAAGTCCAGGACAAGACTTGAGGTACCGAAGAATATGATAAACTGCATCAAGATGAGGCTGACATGGCCTATGCATGAACTGACTAACTCGGCTGACTGCGAATGAAATGTCCGGCCTAGTATTGGCTAAGTAGATAAGTCTACCTACCAATCTTTGATAAACTGTCGGATCTTTCAACTCCTCACCTTCAGCAGTAAGCTTCAGGTTTGGAATCATAGGTGATGATGCCGGTTTGCACCCCAACATCCCAGTGTCTGAAAGAAGATCCAAAACATACTTTCTCTGAGAAAGAACAATACCTCTGCTTCTACGGGCAACCTCAATCCCAAGAAAGTATCGCAGAAATCCAAGATCCTTCACATCGAAGGCCTTCCCAAGGTCTATCTTGACCTGCGCAGTCCCAGAAACATCATCACCAGTAATAATAATATCATCAACATATACCAGAAGGATGACACACTGTCCAGAAGTATTCCGTCGAATAAAGCAGGTATGATCAGAATGACACCTGGTGAACCCCAATCGTATGACTACATCACTGAAGCGAGAGAACCAGGCTCGTGGCGACTGTTTCAGTCCATAAAGAGACTTACGCAGTCGACATACCTTTCCAGCATACTCCCCCTCACCACGAAAGCCCGGTGGTGCATCCATATAAATAATCTCGTCCAGATCACCGTGAAGAAACGCATTCTTCACATCTAATTGATGAAGAGGCCAAGAGTACTCCGCAGCCAGAGAAATAATTAACCGAACAGTAGTCAATTTTGCCACGGGGGCAAATGTAGCACCAAAATCACGACCTGGTACCTGAGTAAAGCCCTTCGCCACAAGTCTAGCCTTGTAACGATCAATAGTACCATCCGCAAGAAACTTCAGGGTGTAAACCCAGCGACAGCCAACAGGCTTCACCCCTGAAGGTAAGGAGACAAGATCCCATGTATGATTACGCTGAAGAGCGTCCATCTCTGTCTGCATGGCAAGAACCCACTGGGGCTCCCGCATAGCTTCCGAAATAGAGCGAGGAACCAGCGTATCTGATAAGGCCATAGTATAAGCTCGAAATGTGGGAGACAGATTACCATAAGAAACATAAGCAGAGATCGGATATAAAATCTTTGCGGTCCAACCATATCGATCAACTGGACGGCGATCATGTTGCGAGAAGGTGGCTTAAGCTCTGGATGGAGCTTCCAGCAAGTAGCTTCCACGGGTGAAACGCAATAGCAAAGTTTCACTATCAACAAAGGGAGATTACACAAAATTCTCTAATCTAGAGAATAAAACCAAACATGGATGCCCAAAATTGGGGGCCAAAAACTCCCCGTCCTGACTGAGAATACATCTCTGATAATGCGCTCCATAGCTTCGGAACAGAGCTATGAAACTGGTGGATCTTGCAAACAGAGGGCTCCATTGAGCCAAATAACCATCCAAGAATGGCACAGTTTTCAGAGAACCATGCAGAATATCCAGGGTCGGCATCAGCTGTCTTTGGGTGAGATCTTGTCAGCCAACCAAGCTTCCTTACACGTCCTAAGAAAAGCTGGAATGAGCGTGACCACTCAGCGAAGTTACGACCATTCAACAATTGTGCCGTAACTTTTTTGAGAGATCATGCCCGGTAATGCTGGTAATGCAACTAGACCCGTTGAGATCTCGTTCCAAGAACCTAGATTATATTAAAATCTAGACCCGTCTGAAGAACCCAAATTACAAGCAAGAACGCCACAAAGGATGTGATTTACCTTTGATAAATTCAAAAGTTCAATCAAGAACAAGAGGAGTAAACTCAACTCAATTCACAATCAAAATTCATTATAGATTGTCTCAACGGTAGAGGTGTCAACAGTAGGGTTCTCAAATCCCTCAGTAGTAGCCATATCAACAACAATACTGGGGCACCCGTGACAGAAAAATAACTCTAAGATAAATAGAGGAATAAAATAAGGGAGAACAATATACCTTCAGTCGAACAGTAGCGACAAATAGGGAAGGTCCAAAAAGCTCCCAAATAATCAAGTCACGGTGCCCAGAAATCCAAAATATATAAATAAGTGATCTACTGCATCAAGGGCAGATCAACAGAATGTACAAGACTAAGGCCTAAAATTGAACGGAAGAGATTGGGCAAAAACGAGGGCCAAGACGAAGCGACGGCTTGATCAAGGCGGACAGCGACGGCGCCGTCACTTTAACCTCTCATATTCAACTTTCAGGCAGTTGATGGCCAGGGTGGTTTCGGCGGTATGGCTGGTAGAGCCATACACTAACCCTACCCCAAACCCTAACCTTGCTCTGATACCAACTTGAAATAATTGTGAGTAAAAGGAGATCCTAATAAACCTAGGAAAAGAAATCCTAATAAACCTAGACTATCTATACTCCAACAGTAATTAAAGGCAGTTCAGCAGTAATTTTGTTTATGGGATTTGCCACTCGTAAATTTCAAACAAATAAAAAAAAAAAGAAAGAAAATAAACAAGGAGCCAAACAATTGAAGGAGGCAATATTTTTTTCTGAGAGAGGATGGAGGGCCAGCATCCTGCAGATCAAAAATAGAAGATTTAACTCAATTAGACGGCCATTTATTCACTCAGATTAGGGATTTGTGATTTTAATACTACAGTCATAGATATGTCAAGATTAAAGTAGTTTACTGTCAACCTACACACACTGTAAGCAGAGGAGAAAATACTCGAAAAGGGCCAAGAGAACAAGCACAAGAGGGATGAACAAGAGAGCATCCAAAATTGTAAAAGAAATTCTTCGTCTAAGACGAGATTTGACTCATGAACTACCATTTGAAAGCGTCTGAGTTGTTTGTGATTTGTATAATTTTGGCAGTGCATGCTTTGTTTGTTACCGTACCTAACTGTAAGCGGGTATATTTGCAGAGATCCCTTTTCAAGGATGTCATGGGAACATAAGACTACGTTAGGTAGAGCATAATCTATCATAAAAACCAGAGTTTCCTATCACTTTATCTACCAAATAGAATAAAACAAGCCCACAGTAGGATGTAAATGACTAGTAAATGACATAAAAATATAGTCAATTTCCATATCTCCTCTTGCTGCATGTTTTCACCAGCTTCTGCAATTTGTAACGAACGTGTGTAATTGGTACAATGTGAAACTAACACATATATTTGGATGTATAATTTAGAAACATGACAGTGGGATAATACAAGGCATAGCATTGTTGATGGATTAAAGTCAAAGTACCCAAATTTCATTTACTGAAAAATATAATGAATCTGATAAATAAAGACTGAAAGTTTTGAAGACCACGAATTCTCCCTGCTGACAATTTAAGAGCTTCTGACAGCTCTTCATAGCTAAAAGTCACGTCCTTTTAGTATGTGTGTTCACCTTTGCGTTGCCTCAATCAGGTGCAACTTTAACTCTCAAGAAAACACCCTAAGACTCACCTCCCTGTAAACTATAATTCTGTGACCCATTTATGTATTTCTCTGGTTTCAATTGAAGACTGGATTCTCATTTTTTTAGAACATAATAATACAAATAATCAGAATCAGTTGTGAAGTGGGTTTGGTCCAGAAGGGACAAGCCGATGTGAAACTGTGTGCATTTGGTTATTCTCGAGATTCATGGATTTTGCAAAGTCAGGAATGACAGAGAAGTAACGCGAAAATGTAGAGAAGAACTTTGCTCTTAATCTTTCTTCTGCTTCATCATCGTTGGCAGGATGGCCAATGTACCGGCAGCTGCACATGTGGACTAGTAGTATGATCATGAAGAATGTGAATGTGAATGAACATGTTTGATTTCTCATGATGAAAACAAAGAAAAAGAGCTAAAACAAAGAGCTGGAACAGAGAAAGTAAGAGTTTTGAGCTGTTAGATGTTAGCAGGATCAAAGTCCATTTTATAGGTGGGAAAGTCACAGCCAAGCTCACAAATAAGTGTACCACCAATTAAGAATTCTCAAATATTTTTTTCTTTTGTTTCAAATTTTGAAGAAAGTTGACATTCTTTAATTTTTATTATCCTTCACCAAAGTAAACCCTCCTGATACATCGTTTCTTGTTGAGCATGGTTAGTTAATTTTTTATGAAAACTTTAGATCAAGGGAAGAGATGCCAGTTTTTTTCGACAGCAAATAATTCAAACCACGCATTTTTTGGACTTACGTATGGAAGAATGCAAATCTTAGATGGACGCAATCATCTACCAGCCACGTGCATGGGTTAATCTCGGATTTTATGCACTTTCATGAGGCTTGAACATAAGACACACGGGTCCGTTCAAGCCTAGCTCCATGTTTGACCAAACCTACGGCTTGAGTAGTGATACCAGGTATTTAGACTGTTGAAAGTTGGAACCTGACTCTAAAAGTATGCTTATCAATTCATCAGATTCTCCAAAGAAAACCCTCCAGGTACATTCTTGCTGAGTGCATGGTTAGCTTTTTTTAGACCAGGGGAAGAGAAAGCTAGGTTTTTTAGTTAAAAGTCCATTTATAATTTGAAGGGTCATCCACGTGGGAAAGGCAGAGGCCAGTCACAAATAACTGTACCACTCAAATCCTATTTCAAATTTTGAAGAAAGTTGACATTGTTTAATTTTCATTTCCCCTGCACAAAGGTAAACCTCCTAGTTACATCATTTTCTGTTGAGCAATCGTTGTTTTTTTGTGAAAGGTTTAGACTGAGGGAAGAGATGCCAGGTTTTTCTGGTAGGAAATCGTTTACAACTGCCACGTGTCCTTTAGAACTCGTGTTAACGCAAATCCTAGATGCACGCATTTGTCCGCTAGCCTGGTGCATATATACATTAAAACTGGTCAGTGAGACGCAAACTCAAGACGTGCAGATTCGTGCCTCGCCCTGCTTGTTGGACCACTCAACCAACCCATGCGGCTTGGGATGCAAGGTATTTGAGTTTAGAGAGTTGAATTTGGAACCTGGCTCTGAAAATATGCTTATCGACTCATGAGATTCCATGGTAAGGGTATGTTGGAATGTTGATCCATTCATGAAGGCATAAAATAGCCAATTCAGTAATAGATTATTAAAAGTTGCTGCAGCCGCCTAAGTCTACTAAGATTTAGGTTCATGTAACAGGACAGTTCTGTTTTGAACTAGAATTTCGTCACACAAAGGTAGGAAGCCAGCCATTTGGCTAAGCATGCTTGTGGCAGTATTATAAAAAAAACCGGTGTGTTTGTCCTAACAAGCCGTACTGATTCCATTGTTCATCTGTGTATCAGATGCCATTCTTCTCCCAGAAAGTGACCCAAATATATAAAATGGAAGTAGGTGCCAGGATACATACATCCTTAGACAGCAAAACTTCACTTTTGGTTGTGTATTATTCTAACATGGAAGCATTAAGCATAATGTAATGCTTCCAAAACTGAGGTACGTGCTCGTCTCAAGGGAATAAAACAGGCAGAGGTTTAAACACATGACTACAATATGCTAGAATGAAGCCTCTGCGTTACATTGAACTCGTCGTTCAAATCAAGAAACTGGAGGATTGAGGATGATAACTGTGCACAGTGATTTTTGCACAATAAATAAAAAAACACAGATCTCTGTCATGGTGAACTGGAGTTCGTCAAGAAAGTCAAAGATCCCGCAACAAAGGAAGAGAAAATACGGCCGACAGAGTGGGGATGAATTGCTTCAAAAGCTGCTCAATCGATTCTGGCAGGTCACGGGCTGTTCTTAGTTCAGAGAAAATGGGTTAGAAAGGCGCCAGAATGTTTTCTGTCGTATCCTCTCCGACGATCAAATTAGTTTTTTGAGAGAGGGAAAGAAAAAAGTATTGTATTGTGTTCTTGGGAAGTGATTTTGGGTACCTTTGCTACACATTTTTGGGAGCTATTTATACCTCTAAAGGCTCATCATTACTAATGGCTTAGTCAGTAGGTAGTACCCAGACATGAGACAATGCGCCTCCTATTTTGCATGGAGAGACCATGTTATTAAGTGCTCGGGTTTCCAAGTACTTAATGCTCTTTTTGCACTGTAGAGGTATTAAATATTCAGGTCTTGGAGCATTTAATACTCCTTCTTCTTGGCTTTCCAAGCCACTGTGGATGTCCCATCATATGAAAATTCATTAAATACTTGTTGGGGTTGTCATATGTCAGTCGGGGCATTTTTGTCTATTTACCTCCATTCTGCACTTTATGTCACGCGTCTAATTTCTCTTGGTTTAGTGTCTTGTTCGTTCTGCTACTCTGACCTCGTTGTGTAGTACACCCTCATGATCCCCACTCTAGCCCAGACTAATCATCTGTCAATCAGTAGCCTCTCTAGAAGCCGAAAACATGTGGCAAGACTAAAGTTTCAGTAAGTACCCTTGGAATCAAGGACACGTGGCTACCTAGAGTGGAGATACCCTCGGAGCAGAGGACACATGTCTGTCATAGAACAGGGTACCTTGACGCCGAGTGCGTGCTTGTGGCAAAGCAACAGGTGCCTTCGGAGTCGAGAACACATGTTTTCATCAGAGCAAAAACGCACCTTCGGCGCCAAAGACATGTGTCTTTGTCAGAACAAAAGACCTACCCTCGATGCCAAAGACCCATGTCGATGATCTACTCCTTTCTCAGAAGTGTCCCATCAGCAACAAACACTCGTTGGCATGCTTAAAGGTTCTATCCTGATCCAGTTGATTAAACAATATACCTGTCAAACATTGTGAGAGCCAGACTGAAGTCATATTGCAGGCTGCTCCAATTTATAAATGGGGAAGTGACGCAAAGATCTGAGTAGAACAAAGGGCATGATTGTTTTTTTATGAGGAAGAGTTGACTTAATCACATTTTACTTTTAGTTCTTTTGAACCAGTATTTTAATGGCTATTGACTTTGAACAGTTTAGGTTTTTTTTAATGTAATCCATTTCAAATGCAGAGAATTAGCAAAAGAAAGAAGAGGGAACGGGAAGAAAAAAAGAAAAGAAATAAATCTTATAGCCTCTCCAAGTTTTGGCCATGGTTAATGAATACCAGAACAACTCTCTTCCTAACATCGAATGCTCGGGTTTGTTAGTCCTTCATCACTGTTTTTATCTATCTGGAACATTCATTGCTTATATAAGTTTTTTTCTGTGGTTCCTTTCATCCGTGTAGAGCTTTTAGTAGAAGAAATCACTCTCTATTGATGCTATTTTTCGCAAACTGCTCAATTTTCTCATCTTAATTTGATTCCTACTTTTGTGCAGTGAAACTCAATGTTTTCGAACATTACTTCAACCTTGGCCTAATATCCAAGTTTCCATTTCCAATCAGTTGAACAGATTAATATATTAAGAGCATTTTAATTGGATATCTTTCGAAAATTCAGAAACATTTGGTCTACGGTTTTGGGTTTGCCTGTATGAATCAATTTGTTGAACACACTGCTGATAACGTTTATGTGCTACCACAAATTGCTGGGTAAATCATGGCACTATACACAAGGAGATTAGAAACTTCGACAAGTATGACACGTTACTTTGACTCCGTGGTTCTGAAATAATCCCTCTGGAAAAAGATCAACCATTGATGTATATACAAAGCAAAAATAGTTAAAATAATGCATTTTGTGATGCTTTTGCGCACATTCTCATTTCTGAGCCTAATACAGTTTCTTCATGCTGAGAGGAAACACCAGAAAGATTACATTTCTTTGAAACAGTATAATATTATACATATCTCATATAGACCTTCTTGGCTTGATATAGACCAAAACTGTGTCTCTCTGCCTTCAGACGAAAAGAGAACCTCATTCTTTCTTGAAACATATTGGATTGTGAAAATCCAATCAGTTGTGAAGTGGGTTCGGTCCAGCTGGTACTAATTGGTGTGACACACCGTGCATTGGACCAACTTTGCTGCTGCTGAAGTCCTCAAAATGAGATACACTGCTTAAATGGCGTGAAAACAGAAAAGAAAACTTAGTTGTTGTCTCTTCAGTTGTTGCCAGTTTGATATGCCGGCAATTTGCAAGATGAAAAGTAGCTAGCAATATAATGAAAACCAAAACTAGAAGTGAAGATTTTTGAAGGCTCATCCTCTAAAATGACAGGAAAAGAAGCTGAGAAAAAGGGCTTCTGAAAGAAAGAAAACAGGTTGGTTTGGTTTGTTTGCATTTGCTAGGAGGTTAGTTGACAGTCTATTTATAACAGATCAGGTCACCTTTGGTGAAGAAGATACAGCCTAAATGCAGTATAAACCATACATGGTTGACATATAATAGCCAATTCAATAGTATTTAAATAGAAGTTGTTGCAGCCGCCTATGTCCACTAAGAAGGTTTCGGATGTCTGTATTATAAAAGTCCAGTAGGTTTCTCGGAACGAATCATACTATTTGTTCATCAGTGTATCTGATGCCATACCTTCTCCCAGAAAGTAAACTAACTTTAAAATAGCAATATCTCCCAGGATATTCTTAGAAAGCAAAATTTAACTACTGATTGTTTATTTATTGTTCTCTATGGAAGCATTATGCAATGCTTCCAAAGCCATGGTATCTTACTATCCAAAGAGAATAAAACAGGTAAGAGGTTTGGATACATGAATCAAGTTAACAGTTGATTAAATAATCCTAATTTCCAAACCTTTTAAAAGCCAGATTGAGGTCATCTTGCAGGCCGCTCCTATATTTAAACAGGGAAATGACACGAAGATCTAACATTGAAACAAATGCATAAGTATTTTTTGCGACAAGGGTTGACTTATTATCATTTTACTTTGTTTCTTTAATAAATATTCTAACCTTTGGCTATTGACTTGGAACAATTTTTTCTCTTTCTGGTCTAACCCATTTTAATCCCATAGAATTCAGAAAAGAAAGAAAAGGGAACAGAAAAAATAAATAACTCCTATGCCCTTTCCAAGTTTCAGCCAGGGCATCAAGTTTGGAATCAACTGGAAGGGCCAATATATACCATATAAATTTGTCTTGGAAAATTCTAGAAGACAATCATGATGACAAACTCTTGGTTAGCCCAGTGTGTCTGTTCAACACCAGAAGTCAAGCTCTATTTGGCAAAGTCTTAGGACTCTCATCCTAACATAGAAGACTAAGAAGAGTCATACCAGTGGATAATACTCCCGTCTATAGCGGAGTTTGAGAGAGTTAATTGGTAGGTAGCCTTATTCCCAATTGGGAGAGGTATTCCATACTCTATGACATGAGGGATTCAAGTACTCAGGCTATTTAAAACCTTCTCCACTATTTTTATCCATCTGGGACATCCATTGTTCATTGTATGTCATGATACCCCTGCTTACACGTTTTTTTTCTGGTTCCTCGTGTTCCTGTAGAGCTTTTAGTCAAAACAAATCACCATCTATTGATGCTATTTGTTGGCAAATGAGCACACATCCCTTCAATTTTCTCATCTTGCCATTGATTGCTTCCTTTTATTCATTGACTTCATGTTTTTGTCTATGACTTCAACCCCAATCTAATGTTCCAATTTCCATTTCCTAGCAGAACAGATGATGAAGAAATAGCATTTATCGGAGGCGTTTCAAAAGTTCAGAAACTTTTGGTCTCTGGTTTTATCATTTGTGTGCGTGGATCAATTTGTTGAACACACTGATAATGTAATTCTTCAACTGCATGATTCTTAAGTAAACCGCTGGAAAAAAAGAACAAACTTTGATGTATATACAGAACATGGCATGGTGTGATGCTTCTTGGTGCACACATATTTATTTTTCTGGCTATCTAGTACAATTTCTTGATGCTAATATGAAACACAAGAAAGATTACATCTCTTCCAAACTGTATATTGTAAATTACTCATAGAACTTCTTGCTTTGACATGATCTCCGTACACCACAAAACTCTTTTCTCTCTGCCTTCTGAGTTCTGATGACATAGAACCTCCATTCTTCCTGGAAACAGATTCGATTGTCAAAATCCAATCAGTTGTGAAGTGGGTTAGGACCAGCTGGTACTGTTTGGTGTGAAACACTATGTATTGGACCAACCTTGTATTTGCTAAAGTACTCAGACTGAGATAAACTGCATAAATGGCGCGAAAACGGAAAAGAAGCCTCAGTTGTAGTTATCTTTCGTTCTTTCTCTTCAGTTGTTGCCAGTTTGATGTGCCGGCAATTGGCAAGATGAGATGTAGCCAGTAAGATAATAAAAATCAGAGCTTTTGAAGTCTCATCATAGAAAATGCAGAGAAAAGGACTAACGAAAGAAAGAAACAGGTTTGTTTCGTTTGTTAGCATGTCTTAGTTGGTTAGTTTGGCAGTCTATTTATAATAGATTAGGCGACCTTGGGTGAAGAAAATTCAGCCCAAATTCAGAATCAATCATAACAAATTGACATAGATACCCATTAATTATGCATACATTTACACATTACCAAATTAACCCTGATGTCCCTGACTCTCTCATGTCATTAACTGATTATCATCTGTGATATGACTCTCAGAGAAGCATAGTATAACATGGGAAGCATTTGCTTATTTTACGGTTAATCTTTTTGATTTTATATGGTTTCCACTGGTCGGGTATTTTCTGATACACCATCTAGTCTTAGAGATCAGTTCTTGAGGTTCAGGCCAAGTTATCGCTTGTCTGATGTGATATGGCACTGTAGGAAGGCAGGCTAATACTCACAAGGCATGGTGCCATGTCAAGTATTTGTAAACTGTCAGGACCGAGTTGAGAGAACACCAGCTACCTTGAACATTCAGTTGTGTATGACATGAATGTACATTAATTAGATGACTCAAAACTATATTCCATTTGGCAGGTGGAAACCTAGCGTTGGCCTTGTGGTCGAATTGCAACCTCGAATGGATGCTCTGTCAGCAGGGTCTGCTCCCAGTGACTGGTAACTGAACTTTTTCATATGATTAGTTCAGCAAAAAGAGGAGTAGCTAAGGTTCAAGCCAACAGAGCATCCATTCTGAACAGGAAAATGAGTAAAAATTTCAAAAACTGCAAAGAACAGGTTCCAATTATGAACTCAGATCGCATTTTGGACAAGAGTGCAAACTTACATATGAGATGTAGCCATTCAGATCTTTTTAGTCTGAATATTCAGCCACTACTATCACCATCACTACCAACCTGCTCCATATCTCGTACATTCTAGGTTCCACCACCATTACACCACTCCTACTCCTCTAGCTCCACAGCTGCTTTCAAACATTATCACCCAGCTTTCTTCACAACTCACTAGGATAATTAGTACCACTACGACCCGCTTGAAACCATACATTGTGCCATTCATGAGTTATTGATCGACCACAAGATATAGCAGTTACTCCAACCATCACTACAGAAAGAGAAACCATGAGCACTGCGGAAACGCAAAAATGGTTTCAATAGCTAAAGATGCAATGCTACATTCTTGGCTCTAATAACTAATCATAAACTCAACATATGATTTGAATACTGCCACGAGCCCCAAATGTAGAACATGTCTGATCCGTTATTTAATACAGCAAACTAAACACTCAAAGCAAGTTTGATTATGGTAAAAGTATCCTACACTCGCAAAATACTTATATCCGAACAGATTCACAAAACACATGCAACCCGCATTATGCTTTCTTGGCATTCTCCATCAGAACATGTTCCCCTTAGTTCCGAAAAGCAGTTTTAGAAGTGCATTAACAACAATTACTCTTTTTTGTCGGTATCACTATTCGATGTGCTCTCCACGGTTTCAACAGCAGCATTCTCTGATGGAACATCTTCTGCGGGCTTAGCAGCATCACGGTCGATAGCTTCAGCAGGTTCACTAGCATTCGATGAGTCGGTTACAGGTACTGTAGTTTTGACAGTGCCAACCTTAACATATTTGCCCATAAACTTGTATTCCCAATCTTGCAAGGCCTCGAGCTCAAATACACCAAGGCCAGAGATATCCCCTGTCAGATCTTTGTCTTCAAAGGACATCTTTGCAAGAGCTCTGCTAGCATCTTTCCCCGCAAACAGGGCATAAGGCCCACCAGGTCCATAAAACATCCTGCAAGGAAAATGGGTTCAAAAGTTCAAATACTAGGGCGATAGGGATATGTATTAGATAATACATCCAGCAACAATAAATTGGATTCATATAAACAATGTGCAGAATTCTAGCACACATAAACATCAATTTAAGGGTAGGAAGACTTCAGTTAGTTCACATAATACTTGTAGCATTCCAATCCAGCTGAAATGGCTAGGTAGAAAATATGGTACATTTGCATAGAGACTCACTGTAGGAAGGCTTTTTTAAAAAAAAAAAGAAAAAAGAGACAGACAAAGAATAATAAGGAAATGAAGTTCAACTTTCTACAGTTCTCAAACCTCATATTGCATTCACCAAAATCACCAAGTTTTTTTTTATAATAAAAAGTGCAGGACACATCAAAATTCTGCAATCACATCAATAATGGTAGTAATAACTTGAGGACAAAATCGCCTTTGATTGGGTTTTGGGGTTCTCAAATACTCTCTTAGATCCAGTAGGAGATCATTAGATGACACGCCATGTCCAATATACTTATGGGAAACCAACCTTCTCAGTTAGAGCAAGCCAAACTCAACAGAGTTCAATTTTTGAAATAGCTTGATGTTCAAAGTTTGAGAATGGAATTCTCAGTTGACAGGTTCACAATTTGAGAAAAAACAATCCAAAAATATAGAACTCGTTTCTTCTAGGACAAGCTGGCAGAAATGTAAAATTAAATCTCATAAAACAATTCTTGGAGAGAAGAAAAAGGCCAAAAAAGTCAGGAAACTGTACATATAAAATAGGAAAAGGCTAAATTTGGTTGGCCAGAAACAGAGGATAAAGATAATAAATTCTGGATAATTTGTAATTGCTTCCCATTTCTGCGAATCAACACTAGATCCAACATCAAACCAAACAGACATATATGCTCAAATCTTCATATTCTAACACCCCACGAACAGAATTCAATCACATAAACCTTATAGGAATTGGAGCCACTCAATTTCAAATCTTATCAATTTTGGTTAAACTCAATCTTCCAATCTCCCCTGGGTTGGATGGACTGCATAAAAAAAATTCATTTAGAGCCAATGAATTTCAAAGTGAATAGTGGATGGTTGAGTTTGACCAAAATAAACAATTAGAAATTGAGAGGATCCCGGTTCTAACATAATCATGTGCTTTTTTTTCTCACGGACAACAAACGAGTCTCAAGATTGACGCTAATGAAAAAGAACAACAGCCAAGAAGCCAAAAAGCAATCCTACAAACACACGAGAGAGAGAGAGAGAGAGAGAGAGAGAGAGAGAGCACCTGCATGAACAAAATACCAAAATCACACCAACCCTCCACAAAAGACCCAAAATTTTCACAAAACCTTGAACGTTTATGACAGCAGGAAGCTAAAAATACCAAAATTCGAAGTCAGACCCCAAAAATTTCACACTCAGAAGCTAAAACATCGAAATAACACAAAATCCCACATATCCAAAATTTGGATTTCACTCAATCATCCAATCTACCCTGGATGTCATGGAATCCATACAAAATTCATCAGTTGGAGCCAACGAATTCGTCGGTGGATAAATTCAAACAATTTGAAATTGAGAAAATCCGGATCCAAACTTAAAAACAGGTCATCATCAGAGTCAAAAATCCCAAATACCCCAGAAAATCATGGGCTTTTGTCACGGACACCAAACCAGCATCAAAATTGAGCGTAAAACAACAGGCGAGAAGGCATAAAGCAATCTATAAATATACATGTGCAAGCAAGAGAGAGAGAGAGAGGAGGCATCAGACAAAAGACCCAACAAAAGCCTCAGCCTGAAGTTGATAATACAAAACTTCAAAGTCAAACCCCAAAAAATTTCACACGAGCTAAACATCGAAATAACACCAAAAACCCACATAACCAAAATTCAAAATGAATAGATGTACAAATACATATGATATACCTGCTTTGTGACACATCATAGATTTGACCCTTGATTGCCATGAGCAAAGGCTTCTTAGGATCAGACCCATCGTACACCTTCAACTCCTCCTCAGTGATCTCTCCAAGCTGAACAGGAGGCGGCAAAGGCCGCATCTGTTCCTCGGATTCCCTAGACCTCTGATGACGACCAGGATCGGAGGAGGGTAAAATCCCAGATACCATATAGTAGACGGCAAGAACCAAAGCAACAACTGTAAAGAAAGTTGCAGGAGAGAGACCTGTGTAGGCTACGATTGATTCCTTCAAAGTCTCCCACAGTTCCACGGCCATGATGATAGAGAGAGAGAGGGAGGAGGAGGAGTAGTATAGTGTTGGACTGAGGGTGATTCTGTGGTTATCTTTCTTTATTTGCTCGTGAATTTCTCAGGGTATTTATGGTATGGTGTGGTTTTGTACTTTTTTGACTAATTATTTCTTAATTATATATTTGGACTAATCTCCCGTTGCACCCCAAAAAATTATTTTTCAATTTATCCTCTTAACTATTAAAAATTTTAATTTACACTTTCAATATTACAAAATAATAACAATATAGACTTGATCTAGATTGCCATTTAATTTTTTATCATAAATTAAAACAAGTAAAATGCAACTGCTTCGTGCATAAAATAGGATGAGCAATGCTACATGGACTTAAAAAGTAGACTTAAAACTTAGACTTGATAATCTCAACCATTGAATAGATAGTGGATCCTAATAAATGTTGGGACCCACAGTGAAATCAATGGTTAATCATATTATACTTTTTAAGTCCATGTCCATCCCTACATATTTTAGTTTAAAATTAATTTGACACCTTTTTGGTATATTGAAATTATGATTTTATTAATCACATAAAGACTAATCCTCACACGAGGAGTCAATAATTTGTGAATTTACACATAAATTTGTATTGAAAACACTTGTAACTCACTTGTTTTAATTTATAATAAAAAAATTAAATGATAGTCTGAGTTAGGTCAATATTGTCATAAATTTATAACAATGAAGGGTATAAATTAAATTTTTTAATATTTAATAATATAATTTAAAAATAGAAGCATCTTTCAAAGTAAAAAGTGAGATTATCTATGTATATTTTGTGAATTACTTTTCCCCTTTGGCATTTGGCGGGGGGTTACATGATTCCATTTTCGGGGAGCTTCTGATATTAATTGGCTATTAAATCGAATGCATAACAAATTATTTCTTTATTACCCAGGAAAGGCGGATGATTGATGCTGCACCAACTAAAATCTATTGTTAATTACTAATATATTACTTAGTTGTCGTGCACACATAATATTTATTTGTAGATAAAAAAATTAGAAAAAAATAGGAAATTTGAAAAAGTGAGAGGGTCAATACAGGGATAAAAAAAATTAATTTATTAATTATAATTTTTAGGTTACTATTAATTAACTACTCAATATAGAGAGAACATCACAATTAGGGATAGCAATAGATCGGGTAAAAATGAGTATTTTTTCAAACCCACTCATTTGGATCGGGAATAGACCATACGTATTGGATAATAGACGTATACGGGGATACTCAGATAAACTCGTACGAGGATAAAAACAAGGATTAGGGATGTCAGTGGACCGAAGTGGGGGGCGGGGAGTATAGTCTTCATCTCTGTATCCGCTTAAAAAAAATTTGTCCATCCCCGGTTCACCCCCGTTAACGAGTATAATTTTCATCTTTATCCCCGTCCACGGATAAATTTTTAATCCCCGTCCCCGTCCCCGCTTCCCCATACCCGCTTAACCTCAAGTCCAAGCCCAAGTAGCATAATCTAAAATTTTAAATAAATCTAATATTTTAAATAATCCAACAAAATTCTAAATAATTTAGTGGATAATCTAAATTACAAAATGTAAAAGTCAAAACAATATAGTATTCTATTTAAAGTGTCATTGGACCACAAAAAGAGAAACGAAACTATTAGAGACAAAGGAAGAAAAGAAAAATAAAATTGAACTAAGAAAATGATAGCACTACACTTGAAGTTTCCTAGAAGTATTTTTATTATTACAATTCATATTACAGTCATAAAATGTTAAAAGATGAAAACTTAAAATTTCGCTAATTCAATAATTCTCCCAATTTCTTAGTTCATTCTAGCAGAGAAACTCATCAACCTCCATTCACAATATTTTCTATCCACAATGAAATGCAAAACTATCTTACTCTCTTTTATCTGTTTTTAAAGCATGGTCAATTCAAACTCCTAACAGTTTCAATCAGTGAACACAAATAAAAAAAAGAATAATCAGGAAAAAAAAGTTGATAAGATTATCACATAACAATGTCACTTGTTAATTTGATTATCATATTTCTAGATTAGTAGTTACAGTAAATATGTTTAATTAAAGCTTACGAGTATATATATATATATAACGGGTAGCGGGGGTGGGGAGGGATGGGGCGGGGGTAAGGGTAAGGGTAAGTTCATCCCCGCCTTCATCCCCGTACGGGTATTCTTGTATACGNCAAATCTATATATTATTGAATGATTTTTTTTTTTTAAATTATTTTATTTTTTAACTTTTCTCATATTTATGACCTGTAAAAGTGTAAATTTTCATGTTTTTGTATTTTTTTATGTTGGATTATGTTATATTACATTACGTTATGTTGTATTATATTGTAAGTGATAAACTTTTAATTATGTTATTATATTCTATAATTATGTTGAATTATTTAAAGTGTTAGATTTATTTAAAAATTTAGATTATGTTGGTTTGAGTTTGGGCGGGGCAGGGCAGGGCGGAGATTATAAATCTATCCGCAAACAAGAGTGGAGATAAAAAATATACTCGTTAATAGGGACAAACGAGGGATGAACGGAGTTATTTTAAGCGGATAAGGGAATAAAAACTACATCCCCGCCCTCACTTCGATCCATTGTCGTTCCTAATTAGAGCTTCCCTCTCTTTTTATTAATAGAATTGATGCATTCTATTCGTTGTGAATAATAAAAAATAAACATCATCCCTCCTTGGCCTCGTTAAAACCATTCAATCGCAGCTCAATTGGAGTAGAGCTCTTTCTAATATATCATTTGTCGTAAAATTAAATGAGATTTATTGTGTATAAATGAATTTTTAAAAATATATATATAATGAGTATTCTATCAAATACAGGAATATTAGAAAAATATAAATCCCATTCAATCCTCTATGTCAAGTTGTCAACTAATAACGACAGAGCCCATCTTTGAGGGGTGATTTGGTCATTTGAGTTGGCCTGGTCGTAGGTAAATGGTTGGTCCACATATCAAATGTACTTAAAATTGGCAGCGGAAAGGTTGGTGCTAAAAGGGTTAGGCTCCAATTATTTTAAAAAACGTGAGGTGCGGATCTGTCCCATCAATAAATTTCGTTTATTTTGTTTTTTGAATATTCAAAATTGATTCCCATCACTAAATTCGTGGAAATGGTGGTTTTGGATAATTTATTTCTAAAAGTACGCCGTAATATAAATGATTTTTAGAGGGTTGTTTATCACTATTAAATGAGTCTATTTGAGATTGTCGGATAATTTTATTGAAATTTATCCTATTTTATATTATTGATTCTCGCCATTGAAACAAAATTTTTTACGGGGAGATAATGGTATAAATTACAAGAAATAATTTTTTTTGTGTTTGGTTAGCATGAAATAAAAAAGATAGAAAAAATAAATTTCTTACGTGCTTAGATTTTCTCATAATTAACCAATTTTTTTTTCTTGTAAAAAATACAAGGAAATACAAGAAAATTGTGATGTATAACTAACTTTCATTTTATCTTTATTTTTTAAAAATATTTTATTGATTATTAATTTTAAAAAACCCTAGTATGAATTTGGTTAAGTGTATAATTTGGCCTAAAATTAGGTCACGAGTCACTTTTTTTTAAAATTTTGTAACTTTTAATTATAATACATGTATTTTTTTTTCTTTAGACCGAATTAATATAATTAAGAGTAAGTTAGATAATTAGAAAAAATTTCTTGTAACTTCATTTCTTTCAAACAATAAAATTAAATTTTTTTAAAATTCTCTTGCAAATTTTTCATGCGAACCAAATAAATACATGAAAATATTTTTTTTTAATTTTTTTTTCACTTTATTTTCTATCATTTTTATTTTCATTTTCAATTGTTTTTTTCTTCCTATCCAAACAAATCTCTAATTATTTTTAAATTGGAGAAGAGTTAAACCCTATAAAATGGGTTAATATTAGATCGACACAAATAATAAGTTAAATATATGAACTAAATAATGTCATGTTAATGTATTGGTGCTCTTGATCTCAATTTTACTCATTTAAAAATTGAACTTTGTTCACCATATGGACACCACCTCATTTGGTTCTACTCGGGTCTTATTTCTTAGGTCAATATAATATTATAGACCTAAAAATTTTAAATTTTAAAAATTCCTTTCCAAATACGAGTGTTTTCGGGTATTGTGAAAAAATGATTTATTATTATCTTTATTAATCTACACATTATTATTATTTTCATTATTTTGTGGGTGAAAATTTTGAAATCAACATGCCTCACGCTACCCATTTATATAATAATAAAAATACATGTACTTGATGGGCCCTCAACCAAAATAATAAACTTTCCATAGAAATAAAAAAATAAAATAAAAAACTGTATTTTTTCTTCCTCCTTCAGATTCCTCATAATAATTATACCAAACAAAGAACAAACTCGAATTTTTCAAATTATACGATATTTAATGAGACATAAATTGAGATTAACAGTTTGTATAATAACCACAATCTCTATCGTTAAATTTTAATGTCACGAATTTGAATGCGGTCGTCCTCCTACTTACGATAGTGTAGCCGTCAAGATTGAACTAGTCTGAACACCAAATTTGAATAAAACCCTCATTTACTATTTTAAAACACAGTCAAATCAAGCAATTAAAGTAGTCAGTAGTGATGACGATCAAGACAACTGACCGATGCAGGTGGTTTTCCCAAAAAAAAAGACAGATCCAAGCCACAAATCCCTATAGGTGGTGTTTGGATGGCCGGATTTAGGGGGTTAGAGGGAGGATGGTTAAAATAGTGAAACGGGCCCACATATATCCCTGATTTGGCTAAGAAAAATGAGGTGAGGATCTCTTTTTTTTTTTTTTTTCTTGTTAATGTTGGTGAAACTGCTAGTTCAACCCAATGACAAGGGCCTTTCCCAGCTTTGGTTCTTCTCCATACTCATCTTTCTATCTTATTGAGATCCTTAGCCTTCGGCTTCGGCTGCTTTGTGGAAGATCTTCTGACAGCCACCGGTTCCCAGTAAGCACTCGCATGGAGGATGGAGAGGGTATGTGTGATTGCACAGGAGCTGGGTTCAATGGAGAATTTGATGGGTTTGAGGCATTTGCATTTTAGTCTATTTTTTTATTTCTAATTAGGGGTTTGAGGCTAGTTTTCGATTTTTTTTTCTTTTTCTCGGGTTGGAATTTGACTCCTATAACTAGCTAGAAACTCATCAGTCATCACTAACCAAGCCACCATTAAAAAAAAGACTTCGTATTTTTCCAAAAAATGTAATAAACATTAACACGTTATTAATACAATGATTTTTGTGATTAAAAGTGTATTGTACAAATTAAATAAAATAAATGAACAAAATATTTATTGTGATATTTTGTAAAAAAATGTAATTTATTGATTCATATTTTTTTCGTAAATAAGACAATGAATTTTTTTTCATTCCATCCAAATATGGTATATGATTGAATAACATTTTTTTACACAAGGGTAAAATAGTTATTTTAGTATGTTTTATCTTCACAGGTGAATAGGTCCACAAACCAAATAAAATCTATCCAAACATGGGATAGGATTTGAATCCGAACATTATAATTCTTCAATCCGAACCACATTATATTGGATTGGATTGGGTTCGGATTCAAATCCAATCCAATCCAATCCTCCCATAGTAATCCAAACACCACCTTGGTCTTTTACTTACCCCCAAAAAAAAAAAAATATAGTAAACGACTTTTTAAATGTGTTAAATAAATAAATTTGATGCGTTCCATATTGATTGGGGTCAAACTCAATTAAAATAAATCGAGAAAGTCCAATTAAAATTAGGTCAACCCATCAAAATGAGTCCAAATTACCGGAGTCTAAAAGAAATTGGACTTTCTCACAAATCAAGAAGGAATTAAATGGAATCCAAAGCCAAAGGAAGCGCCAAAGAAAGCGTCGCCCAAGTCATCCCAAAGCCAAGCGCCGCCCACTGCTAGCCCTCTTGTTTCTTCCTTCGCTTCCTTCTCTTGGCCACTCCAATTCAAGTCCAGCTCACCTCAATGTCAATCTGACTCAGGATCATCCTCTGATGAAATAGGAACACGAGAAAAAGAATTCTCATGTCACCGTCTTACCGTTTAAGTGAGCCTATATAATGTAAGTCCCCCGCACATAGAAGGCATGCCTTCATGACCTTGAGATCCCTGCACATACTACACATTCTTACACAAATTGCTCCTCTCTCTTTCCCTCTAAACATGGTAATACTCTTGGAAAATATTTTCTCAAGCGACTTCATTCATTAATAAAAGATTCGAACTACCGCTGTCGTTCTTGAGAGTAAAGTAAGTCACCTGAATCAAACCACAATAAATCTCAGTATTGTTTCTCTATTTATTGTTTTATCATTAATTGTTTGTTTATTGCTCATTGACTGCACCCGTTCATATTTTTAACTGTTGAACACAATATGAACTCATTAAACACAACAGGTATGAATGCACTAAAACACAAATCAAACTAATAACTATACACATTACAAATAAGTCAAATGTACATAGAGCAATATTTAACATGATAAGACTTGGACACGGCATGAATCCGACATCACCAGACCCATTACCTGAAAATTGATGAATCTTCTAGACTACATAAAAGTAGGTAAACACAAGAAACTTGCTTGAGATACCACGGCAAGAAGACATACGGAGCCACACAACTAACACTGAACAAATACAGACCAGACCCATTACTGATCAGTGTTAGTTGTGTGGCTTCACGTGTCTTCTTGCCGTGCTATGTCAAGCAAGTTTCTTGTGTTTACCTACTTTATGTAGTTTAGAAGATTCATCAACTTCCAGGTAATGGGTCTGGTCATGTCGGGTTTATGCTGTGTCCAAGTCTTATTATGTTAAATTTTGCAGCAGAACTTAAGTATTTGTAATGAAAATCGCCTTACGAAATAACATTAAAAATAGACAATAGCAGAACAAAATTGAAAATCACATTATGAAAACCAGAACCATTTATTTCATATATGTACAACTACAAAGAGTCGAAAATTGTACAAACTAAACAAATCTCCCGAAAGGAAGCAGCTAATCTATTGAAACACCTCCCCCCAAACCTCAGCTCAGCCATTCTAAGGGAAGATATGTTTTATGCAACAAAAACTAAAAGAGAACAACTGTTACATTCATTCAAATTTAGTTTTAGTCTGATTATAATTACCAAAGAAGAATAAAGGTAACCTAAACTACAGAAATACTACCTCAGAATGCTCCAGTCAGATTACAAGAGATCTAACCTCGTCTACTTTCCAAAGCCCTTCTTCATACCGATACCATCTTAAGAGCCCCTCATCGCTTCTTGTCCGTTGGCACATAATGCATGAAGCATTTATGCATGTTAAAAATTCGCGTAAATGAGAAGCCCTATCAAGAATTGACTTATCAAGCTGCTTCAAAGCTTTTCTAGGTGCAGGAGGTGGAGGGACCTCAACAACGAGGCAATGAGATATGTTGAGCACTTGTAACTGCCGTAAGCCCTCCAAGATAATTATCAAAGCATCCTTCAAGAGCATCGAACACCGAAGGCTTAAAACTTTCAGGTTAGGAAGATGTGTGACTAATGTAGTTGCACACAGAATATCACAAGGACCCATGATCTTGAGTTCAGAAAAGTTCTTGCAGTTCTTAGCAATTTCATCCATGAGGTATGAAGGATTTCCTATGCTAGGCATCGTCAGAGACTCGAGATCTTCCCACAAGCTAATAGCTCTGCACATTCCAGCCCTTTTTATTCGATTCCAAGCAGGCATGACTAATCTTCTGAGCCGTGGGCACCTGCAATAAAGGCATTCTGTGGGTCACCAATCATCATGCCTACATAGTGTGCAAACCTTGATAAAGATAAGGGGAATCATAGAGATACATGATATACCTCACATATTCCATTCAGAGTGAAGTCCTATTCAATAAAGGAACAAAATAAATAATTTCGTTCCAAGAAAAATTCCATGTAGTCATTTTCAACCCCCCCACTCCCTCTTTTTTTTTTCCCCCTGAATTAGGTGCTCATGACTTCTTAATAACCTGTTGTAATCATGCAAAGTGCAGCCCATGCCTATGACATTGCTATTAGAATAAAACAATCTAAACAAAACTTGGACATAAAGCTAGGTCTAGGTCCTTCAAATTTCAAACCTTCAGCAGACCGCAAGCCCATGCGGGGTAGGGGGCATGAGTAACAACAATGAATTTCAACACATTTGCATCTAGAGCCCCACTCGTTAGACCTCAATAAAAATTCATGGTTGTAACTCCAGATGTGAGGATGCCAATCACCACGGCATAATGTGATAAAACATGAAACACCGATTTAGCCCACTAAAATACAACATTATTTCTAAGAGAAACATTTCAAAGGGGCATAATATTAGCCTAGGGTATGTACAGCATTGACATCAACTTCAGATTTAAGGAAACTGAAGAGAGATCAGTACTAATATAACAAGAAACCCTGAGGGAATATAAAACATGCGATATCTACAGTTACTCAACATTTTCAGAAGTACCTTTCAGCGGTGTAAGTAAACTGTTCATCGCTGACGTACAGATTGAAATGGAAAATCAAGGTTAATATGCTTCCACGGCTAAGATTCAAAGCAATCTTTAACACTCGTGTCAGTGTTTTGTCAGACCGGTTATCCACATAGACAAATGGCTCCAATGGGATTTTTATGAAGTTAGATTTCATCATCGATAAGTCAAGATTTTTCCACAGCAGAGGGTCGCAACAAGCCAAACGCCATGTACTACAAACTTGAGCGAGGCCAGAGGTCAACTCAAAAACATCGAAAGATTGGAATATCTTCACCAGAATATCGATGTCCAGGTCTTCCCATTTCCTCCCAGTAGAATCACCATCTTCCATTTCATGACCTTGCGTCATCTGAGAGTTTTAGCAATTCAACAGTTAAGATTCACAAGAACCAGTGGAACAGAACAGAAATGCTTTAGGGCCAAGTTGAGATAGAAGATCACTAAGCACCGCAAAAGAGAGATAGGAGATCAGTGAACAATTCATGATAAGCATTCAAAGGCATGCATGGGATATCAATAAGCATTTAGTACAGTCAATAAGCATTTAGTACAGTAGCAACTCAAGGAAGCAAACATATAACAACATGAAGCAGTTGCCCCAAAAATGTTAAACAAAAGTAAGAGAGAGAAGGAGAACTGATTAATGCCTAAGAAATGAATAATGAAGAAGACTTAAGGAAAAAACAAATCCCAGTAGCTAATGCACCTATTCAAGCATAAGTGATCGTTCTGAATTATGAGAAGTTGCCATGGTAAAACAAAACCTGCCTGCTAAGCATTTTTAAACAGTAATCCAGATAAACCATCAGCTCTCTTTCAGGTTGAATTAACCATCCTTATAACAATCCATCATTATGTCAGTAGAAAGGGTCACTCCCAAGTCAAAATGCTTAGTTTATCATACCTTTCTCAGTATTTGTTCCCATTGTTCTAAAGAACATATATTGTAATACTTCTCAAGTTGGGCAGTTAAGAAACAAACATGTTAACAAGTGTGGACAAATATTGAGATGGATGTGTTGTAAACCTAATATGATAAATAAGGAATAAAGACCCATGGGACACTAGAAGTAGCAATAACTAGCAATAGACTGGGAAAAACATACTTACGTGGTTTAGGCAGGTGAAGTGAAGACCAATAACTGCATCAATGGGAAGTGACACGGTACTAATTGACTATAATATGTAGGTCAGAATAGACCAAAATTAATGTAGCAAGATAGCTATTTAAGGAAAAGGGAAAGTTGATGTGGTAACCCGTAGTCTGATGTAAATTATGGGCTTAGAGAAAGAAAATATTGAAATAGTATTCATTTAGCCAACCACATCCGGACAAGCCAAGAATTCCTTTTTTTTTTTTTTTTGGCCAGAAGCCAAGACTTCTTTGAGTTCAGTCAAATTGTGAACAAACCCTCCAATCTTCCTTCCCATACTGCAACTTCTAATCCATCACTTCACTTTGTCTTAGAAGTATGAAGGGTATTCAAAAAGCTTCTGGATTGCAAATTTTCCTTACCAGAGCTACAGGTTGTCACATTTAAGATTGAAACTAATAGACTTGTCGTGCCAAAAATTTTCTAAAAGCGTGATCTACTCTCTTGAACACTAATGTCATACAACTTGGCAAATTATGCTTTTTGACTGAAATTCTCTGTTCAAAATTTGTAAAATATGCATCATTTCTGATGAAAATTTGAGAGATGACTAAGACTTACAAATGGATTGACATTCCAGAATATGAGGTAAATAATAGATTTAAAGAAAGAACACTTAGCAAATGATAAAGCATGTGGTTGTTTGACTTAAGAAACTGACACGCTATACTGGACACCCATATCCATCAATATGTCATACACTCTTAAATGATGGGTTTGTGATGGATTTTGTGATTGAAACACAACTTCCAAAACACATGTATGCTCACACGTCCATCGGAAACAAAGTAACAAACAACTTTCCTGTGTGTAGAAAAAAGTGCTAGTGGTCGGTAGGTCAGAAGAACCATGAAAACTTTACCTAAGAATTATAGATTGGCAATCCCATTACCAATGTGATACCTTAACATATTCCAAAACATATATACATAAATATCATATTCACTTACCAGTTCATTATAGTGGCTTCTGATTTATCTAGATCACAGTGAGCCTCCATCCCCCCCTCCAAGGCGGGGGCCACGCGGGAGAGGGAGATCAGATCAGATCACTTATGAAATGTCGCTACACAAGATAAAATGGTGACTCTAAAATAAGTGCAACAGATTTTACAGTAACTTGGCTGCGTTTACATAATTCCACATACATCTTCACGAAAGAGGAAGTGAAGGATTCTTTGATCACCTTGTGTTCGGAAAATAAAATAACACCATCAAAAGATCAAGTGAAACCTATATGTCAGTGATGTCGCATACCGTAGTAACCACGGGAACTCACCAAAAGGCATAACCAAGGAGGTGCCATTTAGGGCTATTGCTCTAACATATATATCCTACATCCATATACAAACTTTCGATGTAGGATTTAACACTCGCCAATGCACGTCGTTACACATACAATTCCAATCTATATGCTGCCAAAATTTATCAATTACAAGCCTTGCATTGACATGTTATTATTGTTAATATCAGTACAATTATCTAAATCCCAATCAACAAAAACAACCATGGCAGAGTTTCAATCCCTCAAAAAAAAAAAAAGAATCAGGACATGATAATGCATATATCATACATAACCAATTAAAATCATATATACCCTGAAATCTGAGAATCCAAAATCATAAATAACAAGCATTCAGGCTCAAAATGTTTCTGGGTCATATTCAATTTTGAACAACAAAACTTCTTTCACATCCCCCAAAAAAATGTTCTTGATCAAAGAGATCCACATAGATCAGATACACACTTTCACCACCCAATTATGCAATCACACCCAGAGAAATGCATACTTAAACAAGTAAGAAGACAGATGTAGAAGGAAGACAATAAGTACCTTGGAGAATTTTTGTTCTTCTTCTTCTTCCTTGTCTTTTTGATTTGTGCCTGTGTCCCAGTCTTGGGGTGTTGTAGGAATCTTCGCCATAGACTTCGCGTAACAAGTAACTGAGATGAGGAGAGAGAATCGGATTCCAACAGATGTGAAGTTACCAGAAAAGTCCCGTGGTTTGTTCACAACCTACTTAGCCAATTAGGATTAGAGAGAATCACACTTTACACCCCAAAAGATTTAAGAATTCTTACTTTACTGATTAAATTTTTTATATTGTATTATTAATATATTAAACATATTATAATGTGACATTTCGTTGCTTATTTCTTAAAAAATCACCTAATTGATATTGATAAAATGAGCAATAAAAGCTAATAAAATAGTCACATTAAAATATTTTTAATTTGTACAGTAAGTGTACAATTTAGGGAATTTATTATTGAGGTGTGGCCTAGTTGACTTTTTATGGGTTCAAACCCGCTTACAGAAGTGTTTTTTGTGGACCGCATGCTACTGGAACGACTGAATGTCCGAGTTGCTCTCGGTGTCTTATATCTATAATAATGTGATTCAAATCGAATATTCTATAATTGATAAGAACTTTAAAATAACGTCTTGAGGAAGTTGTTCCGTCATATCGTCATGATTACCTTTTTCACAAGAAAAAAATATAAAAAATTTAATTTTTAAGAGTACAAAATAAAAATTTTAGTCACACGCCCTCTAGTTTATTATAAATTTCAAGGACATCCTATTTAATTTTTGAATCTTCCCTAACTCCCTTGTCAAATTAAAGGCCTTAACTAAAACACTAAATTACCCATTATATATTTTATTAGAAAAAATTTTATATATGCCCCATTTAAATAGACATATCTCCAATGAGACCTCTTGTATTTTATAATTTTTTTACATATTAAAGTTCGGACCTACTAAAATTTGATTCAAGCTGAATAAAATTCAGTTTTAATTAGCTCGAAATCAAATTTTAATTATCTCGCATTGAATTTTAATCAACCCAAATTTTAATATGTAAAAAAAAATAAATTGTAATCAACCCAAAATTTTAATACGTAAAAAATAAATATTAATCAACTTGAATTAAATTCTAATTTGCACGAATTTTGATAAGTAGAAAAATATAAATTTTAATCAACGCTAACAGTTTAGGTTGACCTCAAATCAACTCGAATTTTAATATGTAAAAAAAAGATTTTAATGGGTTCAATTTTTAATACTTAAAAAAATAAAATTTAATCAGTTCGAATTTTAATATATAAAAAAAAAAATTAATCGACTCAAATTTTAATCAAATTTTTTGTAAAAAAAATTGTTTGGGATTTATGTAGGGCAATTTTGATATTTTATATAATTTTTTTATTAGAAATAATAGTTTAATGGCAGGGCTTTTAGTGATGTTTAAATATAAACTAAAAATAGTGTCAATGATATTTTGGATAATAGAGAGGAAATGTTGTCCTTAAATATATGATAAATCATAGGGGATGTGACTGAAATTTTTATAATTTTTTAAGGCACAAAGTATAATTCAACCTTTGGATCATTCTGACATACAGAGCCGGCTGTCATAGTTGTTCCCTGTAGTGTCCATTGAACTCAACTACCATAGTACCATGTACCTATGAACCGGGTTTAACAACGCCCACGCGCCACCATTGTAACGTGACACAAACTTCTTGTTTGGTCAACGCTGGAAAATAAATCTTTTGGCAGAAAATAGTTTTAAAAAGTAAAAACACTTATTAATTTTCTTTGATTTAAATAACTTCAAATAAATCCATACTAATTATGATTCTGATTTTATTAGGTACTTGGGTTTTATGGATAATAGGAAAAATTGCCTGAGTCCAAAATTTGAATTATAATGAGTATATGGATTTTGTATAATTAGGATGAATCTCCGTTGCAAAAAATAAAAAAAAATTATTGTTGAAAATAAGGGTATTACTTGAGTTAATTCGATTGAGTTTGAATCTGTTTATTAGATACATGTCGGTTATTATTAATAGAGATCAACTATCAACTTATATTCTCATTCAAAATGAGCTATGTGATCATTCGAATTGAGCTAGAATCAAAACCGAGTCTAATTCTTTCAACAAAATGTTTTTCAAATATTAAACTTTAGAACCTAATAATTAGTGCTGAAATAAATAATTTTTTTAAAAAAAAATCCTTAAAATCTATACACTCAACTTCAAAATTAAAACTATTTAAAGAAAAAAATTTATTCAAGTAGAGTAGAGGCAATACAAGGTATAAGCTAAATATTAATTGGATTGGTTTCAATTCATTTATAAAACCTACTTTAAATTGAATAAAAGTCGATTGATTATACAATTTGACAAATATTCTAAATGAGTCGAGCAAGTTGTTCAGATTGTTTAGCAAATATTAATTAAACTTTTGGTACATAAGAAAGAGACAATCTAGGAAATAATTCAAGTGGCGTTAGACTTTTTTGAATTGAGTCACACATTATTTTAAATAAGCAAGACGAGTTTATAGTACAAAAATTTTGATGGACAACAAAAAGAATTAAAATTGAACCAAGATTCAGTTGAGATTGAGTTATTCAAATGTTATCACCCAGTGATGGGTTGATTGGGCCCTAATTAGGCCATACTATACTCGAATAACGGACCAAAGGCCCAAGATATGGCCCAATGGACCCATCTGGTTCGCCAATTAGGTCTGAAACACCCATTCGATCTTCCAAGTGCTTGCTCAACAGTAGTAGCTGAAGAAAAATCAGAAGGGGAGAGAGAGAGAGAGAGAAAGAAGAACGAAGACATGGCCGGAGGAGGAGATCATCACGGACACCACGCAGATGGGGCCCACGGAGGTGACTTCAGGACCAAAGTATGGAGCATGAGTGGCGGGCCCTACTGTAGGCCCAAGCACTGGAAGCGCAACACTGCCATAGCCATGGCTGGCATCTTCCTCATCTGTATTCCCATCGCCATGAAATCCGCCGAGCTCGAGGTCACTCTCCTCTCCCTCTCAATGTATTTGCATATCTATGATGAGATTTATTGTTATTATAATTCTGATGTATCCAATTCTGATAAAACTTTTGTTTTTTCTGATTATTTTGATGTGCAAAATATAAAGTTGGGTTACTACAATCGCATATTATTGGGATAAGGATTTTGCTCAAAGGGGGAATTTTGATGGTTTTTGCTCTTCAACATGACTATTGACATTGAAGATGGATGATTTTCTCCTTCTCATATACATTTCGTTCTACCGAGTTGGTGTCTTAATTGAATTGGGCTTGCCGAGGAAGAGCCTGACTGGTTTGAAGTGATCAGTGGTTGCCAAAGTCCTTAGCTTGTGGACTAATTTAAATCTGAATCCAACGAGTAGCAATAAATTAGTCTGTTTCTAAACCAACTCATTGTTGCTTGTTATGTGAACTAGATAACAGATTGGGGCAAATCTAGGACAGAAGCAAATTTGGGGATTCCCAATCACCCCCTATTGCCAATATTGCTTCATGGATATCTCAGGAGATGCAACATCATTCGGGTGAAGTAGAAAATTGGTATTGCCCAGTGGTCAGACTGTTGGGCATGTCACCATGTATGGACCCGTTAAATATGGGATGGCACAATTGCATCTGTATTTTTACTTCAACTTTCCTTTTTCACCCAATTCGTGAGCCTTGCTATGTGATTGGTCAAAAGAAGGCGTGTTTAGGTGCTTATTCTTTTGTTGGAGATGAAGGAAAAGTGATACGTGATTGCTCTTCTTTTTGTGGAAGCTCTAGGATATTATATCTTAGTCCTATGTTCCAATGATGTTGTTTATCGACATATTAATGTGACAATCACAAGTCAAGTAGATCACGATCTCACAAGATGAGAATGTGTGCTAATTCAATTAATAAACTACATTTGAACTATCGTAACGAGTGATGAGGTTGGGAGCACTCTTGTTTATAGCTTTGATTAACTCAATTGGATTCTACTAACTCTCAAATCATAACTAATTGAAGCCTTTGGGCCAGTTGTACCGATCATTTTCACCATTCAGCTTCATATAGGGTTGGATCCTCCCTAATTAAAGTTTTGGTCACGTAGTTCGGCTCATATTACTTCATCTTTGATTTCAAGTAAATCATTGTCTTCATGGCCCACAACAATACAAAGTAAGAGTTTCCATTGTATCATACTCTATTTGATGCCAATTCTAGCTTCTCATGAATCATAAGATATGACTGCTGGGTAGATAAGTATGCACAAGTAGTTAAGTAAGCATAGTTGTAGTTAGAACTTAATTTTAATAGCAAATATCTGTCTTTTTTTCACTCCATGACTGTTGCTGGACGATTTTTCTAGCCCCAATACTGCAGTCCTTCTTCAAAATGCTATTGATATCATAGCTTTAGCATCCAGCCTCTTGATGTTACTCCTTTGTCCAGTTCAAAGCAAAACAAAAGATGTTACTGCCTTTGTTTCTTGCATAGCATCACAACTCCCAAGTTTTAGAATTTTATTTTCTTCCAAGTGGTCGAATATAATTGTTTGCAATTAAGTGGGTTTCATTTGGCTGTGAGTGGAATTTTTGCGATCCTTTTTCCCCCATCAGGAAAAATGATGTATATCTGTAGATATGCAGTTTTTATGTGGTCATGTTTGTAGGCCTTGTCTATTGGTTGATTAATTCTCGATACTTCAAATATTTGTTGCAGTGTATCCTATATCATGTGCATATTTTGATTATGTTGTCAAAAGTATTAACGAGTCTGTTTGCTTGCAGCAACGGCCTCATCATCCAGTTCGCCCAATTCCCTCACAGCTGTGGTGCAAGAATTTTGGGAACAAAGAATACTGATTTGCAATGTTTGGTAAAAGTGTGTATAAAATTTGCTACAAGGCGAAGAGTCATCTTGCCTTGTGTAGTGGGTTTTATGCATTTCATGTATTTGTTTCTGCTGATGGTTTGCTTTGGGATTATGTGGATCATTATGAAGATTATATGTCCAATTGAATAAGAGAATGACCCTTGAGCTTGCTCCATTGCGTTTTGATTTTTTTTTTTTTTTAGGTAACATAATTGAGTGATAAATTAATGTATTATATGATCATCCTTGCTTTGAGCAAGTCATTTGTCGAGAAAGTCTTCACCTTTTCTCACGGCCTGTACAATATATTCTTCCCTACTCAAAGCTTTATGGACAAATATGTCTCAAGAATAACCCGATCTATTGGCAGTCGTGTGAGGCAAAGTCCTCTTGTATACACATTATGGTAAGCCTGCAGTAAACACTGTACATAACATCTTTTTCTGTTGTTTCCCAGGGGTGTATGCTCACCAATGTCTTCCAAGCAGTATTAACATTGGTATGGTTGTTATGATGTTCTCACATTCTCTCTCCAAAAGAGTGGGTGGCAAATCTTCTGAAAGGAAGAGTGGATGTTTAGGTTCAAATCTCTCATCGTTAATGCTTCCCAAAAAAAGAAGAAGAAAAAATACAGAACATTTAACCTCGTATCCTTGTGTCCCATCCACATCACTTAACATTTCAAATAATAATAAAGCATAGCTTCAATGGAGAGATGTAATTTTATTGCCTTATAGAACTTCCAAAATCACTTTTCAAAGCTTTCATAAGAACAACACTCGCAGGCGTAGCTCAGATGGTAAAGTTGGTGATCACATACTTAAATCTTATGACGGTTGAGGAGTATGCCAATGCCATGTCTCAACTCTTTGGGGGTCATGTAATGGCTTCTATTTTCCCGAACAAGAACTTATACATATAACTAGCAGTTAATAGCAAGCGGTTAGAGTAGAATGGAGCAGGGATTAAGGCAGTAGATAAGACAAAAGAAAGGGCTAGATACCCGGTGAAGCGGAGAAGACGGCTAGGATAAACAAACTTGAAATGCAGAGTCTTAGCAGAAGCAAGCATATCTTAGGGAGGAGACGTCTGTGCAAGGACCTCAATTCTCGTTAGGAGGTCGAACCAAGGACATATGGAAGTAGGGGCTACCCGTTCCCATATTATGCCTTACAAAAATTAGAAAAATTTTGGCACTGATATTTAATTTTATGTTTATAATGAGACACGAAACAACTCTTGTATCAGAGTATGACACATGAACACAAACAGTAGAATATTGAGAGAATAGACGGGGCCCAATAATAGAACATAGAGGGACATACCCTAGTATGATTGAGCATTTAAGATAGGGGGCATGTAGGCCCACCATGATGCAACAAATCGTAGAAAATAATTGTTTCCGCCGACAAGTCACATTAGAATATATTTAAAAATTTCAAAATTTTGGATAAAAACGTGACCCACATGAATTTCTCAAGATCACGCACACTTAATGTTTGATGTCAACGCGATGAGTATTTGGCACAATTTAATAAATACCGAGAGATCATTAACTACTAAAAGGACATGCNCATCCTTGCTTTGAGCAAGTCATTTGTCGAGAAAGTCTTCACCTTTTCTCACGGCCTGTACAATATATTCTTCCCTACTCAAAGCTTTATGGACAAATATGTCTCAAGAATAACCCGATCTATTGGCAGTCGTGTGAGGCAAAGTCCTCTTGTATACACATTATGGTAAGCCTGCAGTAAACACTGTACATAACATCTTTTTCTGTTGTTTCCCAGGGGTGTATGCTCACCAATGTCTTCCAAGCAGTATTAACATTGGTATGGTTGTTATGATGTTCTCACATTCTCTCTCCAAAAGAGTGGGTGGCAAATCTTCTGAAAGGAAGAGTGGATGTTTAGGTTCAAATCTCTCATCGTTAATGCTTCCCAAAAAAAGAAGAAGAAAAAATACAGAACATTTAACCTCGTATCCTTGTGTCCCATCCACATCACTTAACATTTCAAATAATAATAAAGCATAGCTTCAATGGAGAGATGTAATTTTATTGCCTTATAGAACTTCCAAAATCACTTTTCAAAGCTTTCATAAGAACAACACTCGCAGGCGTAGCTCAGATGGTAAAGTTGGTGATCACATACTTAAATCTTATGACGGTTGAGGAGTATGCCAATGCCATGTCTCAACTCTTTGGGGGTCATGTAATGGCTTCTATTTTCCCGAACAAGAACTTATACATATAACTAGCAGTTAATAGCAAGCGGTTAGAGTAGAATGGAGCAGGGATTAAGGCAGTAGATAAGACAAAAGAAAGGGCTAGATACCCGGTGAAGCGGAGAAGACGGCTAGGATAAACAAACTTGAAATGCAGAGTCTTAGCAGAAGCAAGCATATCTTAGGGAGGAGACGTCTGTGCAAGGACCTCAATTCTCGTTAGGAGGTCGAACCAAGGACATATGGAAGTAGGGGCTACCCGTTCCCATATTATGCCTTACAAAAATTAGAAAAATTTTGGCACTGATATTTAATTTTATGTTTATAATGAGACACGAAACAACTCTTGTATCAGAGTATGACACATGAACACAAACAGTAGAATATTGAGAGAATAGACGGGGCCCAATAATAGAACATAGAGGGACATACCCTAGTATGATTGAGCATTTAAGATAGGGGGCATGTAGGCCCACCATGATGCAACAAATCGTAGAAAATAATTGTTTCCGCCGACAAGTCACATTAGAATATATTTAAAAATTTCAAAATTTTGGATAAAAACGTGACCCACATGAATTTCTCAAGATCACGCACACTTAATGTTTGATGTCAACGCGATGAGTATTTGGCACAATTTAATAAATACCGAGAGATCATTAACTACTAAAAGGACATGCATTGAGCGTTCAACATCCTGAAGGGGATAATTATTACGGGACTAGACTCCGAACCTCTCCAAGTTTAATAATTGTGTGGTTCGAGAAAAGTATAACTCACTGATAATTACTCTTATAAAGACTTTTGCCAACTTGACGGAGTTTCTATTGTGATATAAGATGTTATTAAAAGGTATTACAAGTAAGCATTTGCGAGTAATCTAATACAATAAAACTTTTATCCGCCCTTTTGAATGCCTACTGAATTAGGCATCGAACAAATTCCCACAACCATACAAAATTATCTCAAACTATTGCACTGTGGGTAAATACGTCTTCACACTCTCCGTTTTGGCCAAATTCCTTTTCCCATTTTTGTAACCCTTGAATAATGAACGTCTCTCGATCAGTAATTGAAAAAGCCAGAGACTTTACAGATACAGTTTTTTTTTCAAAATTCAACCCTGCGCTTTGCTCTCGCCCTTCAAAACTTCCCTCTCAACTCTCAGAAAACACTTCTCTCTCTCTCTCACCTCCTCCTCCTCCTCCTCCCCTTCCCTGTCAGGCTATATTGTAAGTTCGAAGTCGGGTATGAACATAGATTGACAGAGATGGGGGTGAAAAACCTATGGGACATCTTAGAATCCTGCAAGAAAACTCTCCCTCTTCACCATCTCCAGTAAGTCTCTTCCCCCCTATACTTATACCCTACCTCTGTTTTCTTCTACTCGATATTCCTATTCAATCTACTTCTCCTTACGTTCTCTACAAAACCAAGAATGATTAACTCGTTTAGGTATGAATGTATACTTTTTTCGGTGTATACTAGGAACAAGAGGGTATGCATAGATCTGTCATGTTGGATAATTCAACTTCAAAATGTCAACAAATCTCACTGTGCCATGAGAGATAAGGTTTATCTTAGAGGTCTTTTTCACCGCCTCAGAGCTCTCATTGCCTTGAATTGTAGTATCATATTTGTTGCAGGTACTCTGTTTTATATTTACGCTTTCTTTATTGTAGTTCTGTCCACAATTATCTGTCTCATGGATGACAAAGATTTGATTTTTTTCCTTTTTCAAACAAATTTTTGCACTTGGAGTATTGTAATCTCGGTAATATCTGTGATTGACATGTTTGAGTTAATGATATTGTGCTGATAAGTTCAAAAAGTTTTAGTGCAGTGGTGTCAAGTGCTCCTAAAGTGGTAAATCGGGTAACAGGAACAAGTGCCATTGCATATAGTTGGTTTAATTCCTGCCACCCATTAGTTACGAGTCCTGATGAATATTAGTTGCAATGAGTGTTGATACCCAATAAGCATCGCAGAGAGATAGCAGTTACTAAGACAATTCAAGTGATAAATTTCACAACCATGAAACATAATTTGACTTCAAATTTAGATAGTAAGTCTATCACTCGAAATCTCAGAATATGATGAACCTTGTGGTAGGATAAGCCTGGGGAGTTGTGCTTGATATGCAAACCTGTCAGACACAAGTATTTCCTGTAAATAAAGAAGGCAAAAATGGGAGGGTAATCATATCTATTGGCATACAAAGTATATGGATAGTATCCAGTGGCAATTCATCACAAATAATATTACTGGGTGGAAGGAAATTCATGCTGCCATTTAAAAATGTTATATTAGCTTTTGAAGTCTCAAGTCTGCTGTGTTTGCACTATTTCAAGTTTTGCCTTATATCTTTTTTATCCAAAAAAGTTTAGTTAATTTTCATTGCTTGAGATAGTCTTTAAATGGTTTATATCAATTATGTTATATTTTCTAAGGTTGTATCCAGTATACTTCTACCAGACCCCTCTAAATGGCAACTAAACTAGCTGTGATTTTTTTGTTAATGTAAGGCTCTGACTTCTATTTTTCACTGTCTAATAATGAATGCACTATTTCAAGAATTAATGTAATGTACATTGTTTGATAGATGGGTCAATTCCTTCCATCAAATTAGCTACGTATAGACGCCGCTTGAAATTGGGAATTGAGGTAGGGATCCTGTGAGTCAATCTTCATGTTATTTTCCTTTGTTTCGTCTCCTTTTCCATTTTGTCTCAGAAGTTTTACCCTCCTAACTTTAACTACTTAACAAAGGCAGGTCACCCATGATGAACCAAATTCACATAAAGCATCATCACTTCGAAGAAATATGGGATCCGAGTTTTCATGTATGATAAAAGAGGCTAAAGTCCTCGGCATGGCGCTTGGGATTGCCTGCTTAGATGGGTAATCTTCAATTTTGTGGTAAAATTTTAATTTATCGCACATGCTACTAAAATGTACTCAAGAAGTAAGAATAACAGGTAAAAATGGTAACATCAACTTTGATCTTTTAAAGGTATTTATATTTTTTGACACACTGACATCATGTTCCCTGTTAAGTTGCTATGTGACTCTTCCCATGTCTTATCTGCATCTTTTACGTTAAATTTTTGGTAGATGACAAAATATTTATCGTTAAATCACAAACCATTGCAGCCATGAAACTCTGGGTCTGATCAAAATATCACCGATACCTTAAGACTTAAGTTATCATCATCTATCAGAAAATAGGAATCCTAATCTAAGTGACTAATTCTTGTAGTTGTATTCTTTATCCCCCACAATAACATTCAGGATTGAGGAAGCTGAAGCTCAATGTGCATTACTGAACTCAGAATCTTTATGTGTAAGTTGAAGCAATTATATTGTTGTTTCATCTTATATTTGATAAGCATTGGGAATGCCTTGGTATTAACGTTATGGTCATCAGGATGGATGTTTCACTTCAGATTCTGATGTCCTCCTGTTTGGTGCAAGAACAGTCTATAGAGATATTTGCCTCGGTATGTCTATGGAGATTTTTGGATTTTCAGTTCATTCATTCAGACCATAAAATTATTATCTGTTTGATCATTCTTTTGAATATTAATATTTAATAATGGTAACTATGTGCTGATGATTCAGGTGAAGGTGGTTATGTTGTTTGTTATGAAATGGGTGACATTGAGAGAATACTTGGCTTTGGAAGGAATTCCTTGGTAATTGCTTTTGGAGACTTTTGTGAATTTACTATTATAACATCGACTACTAGAATAATGCTTTTTATGTGTGAGCTTGTTCTATAAAAATAAACATTAAAAACTGTGATGAGATGTCCTAACAAGAATGTGCAAAATAATTCAATTCCCACCCCCCACCCCCCCAAAAAAAATAAAATAATAAATAAATAAAAAATAAAATGTTGAAACCCTACAAGGTGCATTAATGATTTTTTTTGGTAAGAGACAAGGTTGAGTGATGGTTTAAATTGGTATTTTCAAATGAAGTTTTTGACTCATCATAATGAGGGACAATTTTATCAACTAGGAAGTGGATTCAGTTATGGATTTTCAGTGGTAAAATGGAGCTGTTATATCAGATTGTGGGACACTCGCTCCAGTTCCCTTGATTGAAACTGTGTTGTTTCATATTTTAAAAGAAGGAAGATGTACTGTTTATTTTAGTTGGTTCTGCAAGTGTCTATCAATTTTAAAATGATTTGCCATGAAGCTAGTATTTTTTACACAAGTGTTTTATTTTTTCTATAGCTGCTGTGATTTCACTATAGCCACTGAGTCGTATTTTTTTCAACTGATTGATTTCACCTATAAAATCCATTGTTTTGATTTGGATCATATTCCAGATTGCTCTGGCCGTTCTTCTTGGCAGCGATTACTCTCAGGGAGTTCATGGGCTTGGTCCAGTAAGTTTGCAAAAATTGTTGCGTCTCAGAGTCAAATAATGTCTTATTCTTCAACAAAAGGCTCCTTCTGCCATGCAATGGGCGATTAAACGAATGCCTATGCTGTCATAAAGTCTTCATCTTGGCTACAGGAGTCAGCATGTCAGATAGTGAAATCAGCAGGTGATGGTAACGTTCTTCAGCGAATTGCGTCAGAGGGACTGTCATTTGCAAGGAAGCCAAAGGGTTCAAAAAAACAAGGTAACGGTATGCAAATAAAATCTGGCATTAATTATATTCTCCCATAGTTTGCAACCATATGCAATGATTATTCTCAAGAAGTTTCTGAATTCACTTGCCATGGTTATTTCTAAATTAAATAATTGGTTACGATTAATCAAGTGATCTCTAAGGATTTGATTAGGTTATTGAATTCTAAGATGACTTGTACAATCCCCTTTACTAAATCTTGTCAAGTATTAGCATTCTTTGATACATGTTTTGTTGGAATTTGCTGACCTGGTGCAGATTTGATTTTTTTTTAACANAATGATTTTTTTTGGTAAGAGACAAGGTTGAGTGATGGTTTAAATTGGTATTTTCAAATGAAGTTTTTGACTCATCATAATGAGGGACAATTTTATCAACTAGGAAGTGGATTCAGTTATGGATTTTCAGTGGTAAAATGGAGCTGTTATATCAGATTGTGGGACACTCGCTCCAGTTCCCTTGATTGAAACTGTGTTGTTTCATATTTTAAAAGAAGGAAGATGTACTGTTTATTTTAGTTGGTTCTGCAAGTGTCTATCAATTTTAAAATGATTTGCCATGAAGCTAGTATTTTTTACACAAGTGTTTTATTTTTTCTATAGCTGCTGTGATTTCACTATAGCCACTGAGTCGTATTTTTTTCAACTGATTGATTTCACCTATAAAATCCATTGTTTTGATTTGGATCATATTCCAGATTGCTCTGGCCGTTCTTCTTGGCAGCGATTACTCTCAGGGAGTTCATGGGCTTGGTCCAGTAAGTTTGCAAAAATTGTTGCGTCTCAGAGTCAAATAATGTCTTATTCTTCAACAAAAGGCTCCTTCTGCCATGCAATGGGCGATTAAACGAATGCCTATGCTGTCATAAAGTCTTCATCTTGGCTACAGGAGTCAGCATGTCAGATAGTGAAATCAGCAGGTGATGGTAACGTTCTTCAGCGAATTGCGTCAGAGGGACTGTCATTTGCAAGGAAGCCAAAGGGTTCAAAAAAACAAGGTAACGGTATGCAAATAAAATCTGGCATTAATTATATTCTCCCATAGTTTGCAACCATATGCAATGATTATTCTCAAGAAGTTTCTGAATTCACTTGCCATGGTTATTTCTAAATTAAATAATTGGTTACGATTAATCAAGTGATCTCTAAGGATTTGATTAGGTTATTGAATTCTAAGATGACTTGTACAATCCCCTTTACTAAATCTTGTCAAGTATTAGCATTCTTTGATACATGTTTTGTTGGAATTTGCTGACCTGGTGCAGATTTGATTTTTTTTTAACAGAAAAAATATCTTGACTTTTTGTCTTACCTAAAGATTACAAAGTGCATATTTGTCTTTTTGCATTGAAATTTGATTTTGACTCAAAATTTTGGCACTTGGGTCACAATTTTTGTCAAGTTAGACATTAATTGCAATGGTGCTCTTTGGTACACAAACCATACAAGTGTTATGTGAGCATATTTGACTATGCGAAATGTGAAGTGTAGAGCCTACTAGAGTGGAATTTATCCTAACTCAGATACAGAACTGGAGAAGTTGGTCATATTGCTGTTTTCCCAACTTTTTACAAGTTTTTGTAATTCAAATATGAGTGCCAATATGCAATATGCCAGCTCTCTCCGTGGAGGGAGATTTGGTATTAGTTTTCATCGTACTTCTAGGGTCGTTCCAATATGCATGAACTTATGTGTTTTATAATAAGTTAATGACATCAAAATGTTGCCTTTGAATACTGGTTATTTTTGGTAGGGAATGAACCTCCTTCACAACAGAATGATCAGTTCATGCAAGTCATCAAGGCATATTTGACACCTAAGTGCCACTCGGCAGACTCAGATGCTGTGCATAGGTAGAGTTCAGTTCTTTAAATGTGTTTTTATCTGTATTTATGCTAGTTGCTTCATACCGGAGAGGGTACAGAATTTGATTTATGTTTTCAGTTTTTTGATGCCTGAACTCTTTACCTGGTTTGGAAACTTGGTTGTGAACTTCTTAGTGAACATCAGAAAATGTGCCAAGTTTGATGTTTATAACCAATATTGCAGCGTTCTTGCTACACGTTCATTTCAACGAAGCAGACTTCAGCAGATATGCACCCAATATTTTGAGTGGCCTCCTGAGAAAACAGGCCAGTTCTTCTTTCCACTGACCTACTTAGTTATGCACACAATCTGTGCACATGCATGAATGTGTTGTGCATGCTGGTACAAGATATTCATGCATGCGTTAAGTGGATTCTGTGGGTTTTTGTTTTAGGTAGCTGTAGTGCACTAATTCAGTTAGGCAGCTGGTCCATTGTCAAAACAATCTATAATTTAGCTCCATCATAGGATGGCATAATCTTCTGGACTAGTCCTTACAGTATTGACAACTGAACGTTCTTTTGGATTTCTTTTTGATAATGCTGACCAGGTGATCATAATCTGTGTTATGATTTTTGTTTAGTTGTTCAATGATTATAGGGAATGGTTGGATTGCCAAATAGCCAGTAAGAAAGATCATTGCAATTGTGGCATTAAATGTATATTGATAAGTCTACATGATGGAGACAGCGTTGTAAATTCTGCTAATGCCATTAAATTATCTCTCGGTCAAAGTTAGAACAAAATGCTAAAATGATGTCTGAACTTGCTTTCTGTTGGGTGGATGGGTTTATATCTGGAATTGAAATTAGAAGAAATTTAACACTTGAGTGTAGTGTCCAATTCCGATAGGGTAAATTACTTTTAGCTCCTTGTGGTTTGTGTCAGTTGTACTTTATCTTCCTATATTTTAGAAGCCTACATGTGACCCCCTTAGAATTTAAGACTAAAGTGCAACAGCTAATAGCATAACAATTTAGTATAAAAATAGAATAATTCCTATCATGTTTATTCTTTTAGAATTTTCTCTTAATTTTTTCTACAAATTGAGGAATCTACAAAATACATAGAAAGAGGAGAGAGAGAGTTTGGTTATTTCAAAGAGGAAAAAAAGAGAAATATGAAAATGTAGAATGGTATAAAAGTCCTTGTGACATTATATTTTTGACTTTCGACCTTTGATCGTTAACTGCAGTGGACATTCTGATGCACATTAGTCTAGAACTCGAGAGGGTGTAGTGTATGCTTCCAAACTCTAGGGAGGTAAAGTGTCAATGGTTTAGGTTAGCAGGGGTTAGGACATAATTCACCCTCTGCAATAGAAAGGCATGAGTTCCATGCTCCCAGATTCAGCATTAAGTTTTTTTTCACTAAACAATTTGCAGACTTTTAATTATGTAAAAGCAGACGAGTATCATCTGTTGTACATTCAAGACTGAGCTTTGGGTGAGGAACTTTAGATCTCTAAGATGGAGCGCATCAACAAAACTTCTCACTTAGTGCATTTTACTGCCATTAATGTGGATGCTGTTCTGTCTTTTGAATTAGTGGTTGCTTTGTGTGTGATTTGTGGTTCAGACGAGTACATACTTCCTAAGATTGCTGAAAGAGACTTGCGGAGGTTTTCTAATCTGCGTGCTACTTCATCAGAACTGGGAGTTCGACTTTCACTGGATGAGGTATTGCTTTCTTTACTGCTATCTTACATTGTACACTCTTGTGTGACCTGTTGAACTGTTATCTTACATTTACACCCTTGAAATTGTGTCTTTTCTTTCAAAAGTTCTAATCCTACTGAGGCTTACTTTGAGTCTTTGGACATTCGGGGGAAAAGGAATTATCATCTGAATGCCTCCCTTTGTTTCTTAGTCTGTAAGATATATGTTTGTCCTGCTATAAAGATGAACAACCTCCTTCCCCAACTTAGCTACTTCGCTAATTTCACATGTTTTGGGATACAAAATAGAAGAGAATGCATGATACATTGCTTATATAACTGGAATGAATGGATAATTGGATGCCTGATGGGCAAGGTTGATCAGGTTGAGTGTCTCTTGAGGCTCTTGTATAACCTGTAGTGCAGCATGCTATCCCATGAACCAGTGAGGCTAGAATGGAGACATCATCGATAATGTGCTGTGAATCTTGTCTTTCATCTCTTGACTTGTCAGCTATGGAATTTGTGTACACTTGGAAGGGGTGAAGTCTGGGGTTGGGTTCTGTTGTCATTCAGGTTTGTTTGTGTGTGCATTTTTTTTTTTGTTGGGGGGATTGAGGGGGGAGGGAAGGGGTGGTTTAGACTTGCATTATCTTGTGATGTTGAAACATGCCCAACTTTTGTGCCTAGAACAACTGAGAAAATTTGATCTTGATATGCTACTCCTCTACTTCCGTTGTGATATGGTGTGGCATAGACCATATGTTTAGTCCCTGTATTGACTGATCTTATCCTTCCCTACGACAGATGCCAGTAAAGTGTCCTATATCTCAAGTTGTCAAGCACAGAAAAGTTCAGGGAAGAGATTGCTTTGAGGTTTCCTGGGAAGAAATGGACGGACTGAAAACCTCTGTAGTGTCCGCTGATCTTGTAAAGAGGTAATGGATAATATTATTTGCAAGTAATACCAGAACACTGGAGATTGACAGAAACATGAGTAATCTGCAATAAAATCCCAATAGCTTTTGAAGATTTGCAAGTTATGTTTATTTTCAATTTTTTTATGTTTAACTGAAAAGTACATGTAGGTAAAATGAATCTTCCTTCACTTATGCAACCCATTTGAACTTGCCTGTCATCTGTACTGACATACACTCCCATCTTCTTATTGTTCAGATTAGCTGCACTATGTTTTGACCCTGCTGTTGTGTGAGTGTGGCTACTCGTTTAGTTCCATAAGTGATTACTAGCCAAAGGTTTGTCCTGAAAGTCAAACTAGTATTTAGCAATCACTTTGCCAGTTGTAGCTTTGAGCCCATGGATGTCCGAGGATAGGAGTGAAGTGACTGATGCAGCAGCTTCTTTAGTTATTCTACCTGGTGGAGTGGCTTTAGAATTAATTAGAATGTGTTTGGAGACATAGAAATTTTAAAAGGAAAAATGAGATCTATAAGTGGAAAACAGAATTATAATAAAAGCATGTTCATCCCACAAGCTGTAAGACAAAGTTTCTTCTACTTTCATTGAGCAACTGTATTGGGAATGATTGTTTTTTCTTTATGCCTTCAGAGCTTGTCCTGAAAAGATTCTGGGGTTTGAGGAGAGAATAGCTCAAGGGAAGAAACCAAATTATTGCAGACGAAGACCGAAAAAATCAGAGAACAAAGTATCTGCGAATGAAATTGACCTCAAGCTCCAAAAGCTGCTGCTTGTTGTCGAACAAGAAAGCACTGCCATTTGTAATGTACCCTCATCTAGAGGAACAATATCAGAGAAGACAAGTAATGTGACCCATAATGATCTCATGAACGAGGCCGTGGTGCTCAATCCCGAGTCAGAAAACAATATCAAAAGAAATGCTACCACAGGTTGCTCTTCGACAACTTCCATTGTTGCTGAAACAGAAATCATCGATCTAATGAGCCCTTCACCAACGATACATGCCCGTGGTGTTTCAAAATGTCAGGAGCCTCGATGTACTGATGTGATTGACTTGAGTGAGTCAGAACCTGACACGTCACCTGAACATGCAAGGAAGGCAAGAGAGTTGAGATTGTTCTTGGCCAGCATTAGAGAAGACATCTCTTGAATACCAAATGGAGGAAAGTGTATGTATACTTGCATTTAGTATGCATTTATCATTTATAACTTCATAACATAATGCAAATTCCACTTTACCCTGTTGTATACTCTTTTTGGACTTCACGCTCTTATGATTCAAATATAACTACATAATTGTCATTGTTTTTGCCCACATGAAACTCAGTACAGATATTGCTGTGCAGGGTAACTAGGACCAACAGGTTGTGGAGCCATAATCAAAATTCATACATGGATAGTGGATGGCAGGCTAGGAGTAGATAGCAGTGTTGTGGGAGAACTATGATGTCTAAGAAAGTTGGTAATTGAGAAGGATGCAATCGTGGTTGAACTGGTCTGACAAGAGCCGCCAGACCATCATCGTTCAAGAGTGCATTGATTCTTGAAAATGCAGGTCCTTATGAAGCAGTTTAATGTGGAACAAATCAAACCAACTATGCACAGCCAAGGTGTGTCATGAACTAGCTCGACGAGGGTAATGCACAGCCAAGACTTGTCATGTACTAGCTCGACGAGGGTGTGGCTTGAATGTGGAGGCCAATAATTTGTAGCTTATGATTTTATGCCCATTTCTTGTACATATCAGTTCGTAGCAGACAGTAATGAGGTAATACACTAACAAAATTCAGAAAAAAAATATCTTACCCAAAACTCCACAACTCAAAAGAGAGATACAGTCCAAACTCAAGATTTTCATATACTTTTTTCAAACTCCCAAAGCCAAATTACAAGAAAACTAAATAATAAGCACAGTAATAGCCGTAGTGGTGATTTTGCCAAAACAGCCACCTTTTCAATCAGAATTTCAGCTTAAAGGCAAATCAGGCCAAAGACTTGGCTGGCGTTGGCTTGAAAACACCATTAGCCCTACAATGCTATCAACAAAGGGCCACAGGTAGCATCACAGAAGACACCTTAAATTTTACATTGGAATACTACCATGCAGAAGACCAGTGAGCCGTTTTTCCTCCCAAAATGTCCCTCGTTTTCTGCTTTAAATAATACACCATCTAAATATGGGCTGTAGAATAAGGAGAAGGTAAAAAATACATGCATGGTGCCTCGTTTTACTTTCCACCACTGGTATCAGTTAATTCTCATTGCATCGCTCACGCATACTCTAAAGTTCAACCAACTATAATTTGCAGTTTATGCCGGCAACTGGTGACTTGTCCACAGCATGCAACTAAATCTGTGTCTGCTGTCTGTGAACGAGCTAGAAAGGAACAGAAATGAGGAAGAGATTTAATAAATAACATTTCACGGAGATAAAATGAAGGCAAACGAATATTTCTAGTGAAATAATGAATTACAAATTTGTCATACCAAAATAATGTCCACAAAGTAGAAAATATTCATCACTTGTTCTCTCTGTTTTAATTGTTTTGGAGATTGTTGTCTCCAGTGTACTATACGTGCCATTTTTGCTTTCAGGATCTGCTTTTACCCACAAAGTACAAGATACTAGTAAGTATTAACCAAGGAAACATGAGGAAGGCTTACAGCAATTGCAGCTGATATTCACTATTAACTAAATATCAATCCCACGAACAATGCAAGTATAAGAGTTCCCACCATTAAAATCTTAACAAAAATGCTCTCATCCCTCATGAAACTGGACTAGTTCACAAACCCATAAACTAAAAACAAATGAAATTTTCAAAATAATGATTTAATTCCACAATAACAAAAGAAGTATAAGATGGGCCAAAGACTTTCACCCTTACCTCTTTATCAACTCGATTGCAAGGATTTTAGCATGTTCCAAAAACTGGACACTTTTTGTAACATCACCATCTCCAGTACATGCAAATTTTATATTCGAAAAGAATTCCCTGTAACCACTACTGATTTCTTGTATGCCCTCAATCCCTCCTACACAGGAGCAATCAAGAGGTTTCAGGGTATCATCTGCCTCTTCTGCTTCATACATTAGCAGTGCTGCCAACATATTTCTCCCTCTGCAGGCTACTGCTGCTTCCAGCCTTGCAGCCATGACAATGGCTTGGCGAATACATGAAGAAGGCAACTGCAACGGAGAATTTATGCCAACTCACTAACATATGGGTGAAAATCTGAAAAAACGAAGATACCATAAACTACCAAATTCAGAAAGAACAAGCAAGAGCAAACTTCATGGTCAAAGCAACCCCAGCCTTGACCAAGCCTCATTTCCTTATGGATTTAGTGCAACCAAATTCCCACAACCACCATGTTATGCGAAGTGTATTCAGCTTTATAAGTGATTGCTATGAATTAGTTCCCCCCAGGTAGCAAGGGATGAAGGAACTAACCTGCGCAAGCTGAGCAACTTTGAATCCAAAACTCCTCTCTGAAACACCAGGCACAAGCTTGTACAGGTAAGTGACATCTTCATGATCCAAATTGTCAGTTTTCTGATCATATTCTAAGTCCTTGTACATATGTCTTTGTGATGTCAGGTATGAAACATGGTATGCCCCCACAGATTGTGGGAATTCATTCTTGATATCAACTATTTTAGGGTAATGGGTAACAAAGAGGACCATGCATTTTTTATGCTCCAGAAGATACTGCAATGTAGCATAAGCAATTGCTACACCATCGTGCGTACTTGTTCCTCTCCCAAGCTCATCGATAATAACCAATGACTGGGCTGTGCTATTGTGAAGTATGTGAGAAGCCTCACTAAGTTCTTCTAAAAAAGTACTCCTTCCTTGCTGAATACTGTCAGAGGCTCCCATTCGAGTGTAGATGCCATCTAGCACATGCAGTTTTGCTGATGATGCTGGTACAAAGGAACCAACCTAGAGGGATCAGAAGACACATATTGATGAAGCTAAGACAGTCGCAGATTCTTTTTGTCAAGCAAAGGAAATGAATAGGTAAATTCTGGATTTCACAATTAACAATTTCAACACTAACACTAACCATTTGGAGAGAAGAAGCCACTTACAATCATCCATTTCAAAAAATAAACCAAGACATGCGATGGTTACTTGAAAGAAAAGAAACAAGCAAGCACTTATAAATAGCCAAGTCATAAATTCCAATATCATTAGGTTTGCCTTTGGCAGGATGAATACTTCACCTTCTAATAGAAAGATAATAAGCAATGCAGTCAAGTTTAGCCCCCAGAAGTCCAAACCAGTGAGATAATACAGGAAGGCCTAAGAAAATAACTTTCACGACTATGATTGTGTAATATGTATCAAGCAGCATACACCCATGGTTTCCTTCCATTATTCAAGTAATATTGACTAAAGCAGATCTTAAGTACATTTTTGGCAAGATAACGAGAATATCATGCTGAGCAGGGGATGGGAGGAATCAATTGGTGGTCTATTGGAACTAAGGTCATCCATATAATCTTGATGGGAGCACTGAATACTGCTTGTACCTGAGCCATGATAGCAATAAGAGCAACTTGGCGAATATAGCAACTCTTTCCTCCCATGTTTGGTCCAGTGACAATCTGACAGTACTCTCTATCAGCATGCAAGTTTGTATCATTTGGGACAAAAGTATCTGGTATTATAGTCTCCATAACCTGTCAAAATTTACGTGAGCACCAAACTATAAATTGTTTTGACAAAAACTAACCAAACAGTGATGAAACATGCAAAAAAACTAAATACAAGAGCCAGATAATTGCTACAGGTCACGCATAAATTTGGTGGAGGGAAGCCACCAAGGTCCAACCCTGCTCCCTTTCTTCTTAAGCCCAAATGTGTATGGAAATGACTTCTTATAACAATATGATATAAACTGGCGCATTCAAACGAGGCATATCTGATATGGCATTCAATAAAATCTTTTTGTTGAGCACATGACGTCTATGTGTACATAGTACATACCGGGTGACGACCAGAACAGATATGTATGTGAACAGGTTCATTATCGTTTACAAAAATGGGACGGACGTAATCCTGCAGCAAAAAGTCAGAGGAGACAATCAACATCAAACAAAAAAAACATCATATATTGCAAGTTGTAACACTAAGTTTTCAAAGCCATCCAAGACTGAACCTTATTTCTGGAAAGAATGGCAAGTGAATGTAGACAATCCAAAGCAGCTAGTGCTTGAACAGTAGCTTGGAACTCAGCATAATGTCTACCAAATGTCCCAAGAAAGCTATCCCAAGCAGCATGGCAGACAAGAGTGAGCTCCTCATTTGCAAGGCATAACTGGTCTAAACTAGCCAATACTTCAGGTGGATGATAGCGTATTGTCTTTTTAGTACTATTTACCTTCACCCAGTCTGAAGGTACCTTCACATCTAAAGGCAACTGCAATTGAAGCTACATTCAATGAGATCCAGATGAACACGTGCCATAAGAACATAAAGATCAGCATAACAAGAAAGGCATGCTAATAACAAGCGGAGCAACCTCAAATGGGGGCAAAGATGGCCAGTTCATCATGAAGCATTAAATGAACAACAAAATATGACCAGCAATACCAAACACAATTGCTATTTACAACAAAACAGGAAATAACAATCTTAATTCATTAAAGTCGAATTTGAAAGAAGAGATCTGCAGAAAGTTATTTGAAAAATCAAGTTAATAGGCAATGGCTTTATAAAGACAAGCAGCCAACAAAAACATGGCTAACTGTATTGTATTAGTAAAAATAGTGAATGTATAATGTCCTTCAATCCTATTATTGGCCCCATAAATAAAACACACAAAAAGATCAGAAAATCAGCTAAAACTAAATCTTAAAAAATACACATTGGTACTCTGTTCAGACCTATGAATAAATGCAAATAATCTTCTGGCTATGTTCCAAATCATCAAACAGATGACATTGGCAACTTTGTACATCTCTAAATTTGACAATTCAAACAAACACTTTGTCAAAGACATAATGGGGAACCAACAACAGATTAGACCAGAATACAATAGAAAAGGAAAAAATGAAAGACAACTTTTTTTGGTGTTTGGGAAGAAAATTTTCGTTCACACTGAAAGACTTTTCAGCCAAAAATAAAGAGACATATCAAATTGAATTGAAATCATTAAACTTCAACCTAAGAAAGCACAATGATAACAGTTCTTCCAACATCAAGTTTAAACAGAAATACCTCTATCAAATGTGTCACTCCAGACACATTCATGAATTCTAATTTACGTATTCCAAGCTGTTTACGGTACAAACCAATTAACAACTCTAATTTCTCCTTGGCCAACTGAACTTTTGTCCTCGCTTTAGCAACCTGCACAAAAACAAATCATCCAAATAGGACTAGGGGATTATGTATGAAGGCAAGATACTGTACAGTGCCAAAACAGTGATTATAAAAAAAAATTGCTTATGAAAACCTCTGTGTACTGTCCATCAGAAACGATAAATAAGTTGTGAAGATCCCGTTGATCAGCAGCTTCTTTGTTTAGGCTAGACAAAAGTTTTGCAGCTCTACTGATTACACAAGATGAAGAAGCTGTCAAGATCAACTTCCTCAACAACACAGAGTGCAGGGTCCTTGCTTGCACATTCTTCTCTTTGTCCCCTTCTTCAAAGCAAAGTTGCTGAAGTTGTTTTCCAGCGACCAAGATAGCTTGAGTGATTGTAATGAACTGCACAATTTCATGATGCAGACACTGTCATCAAGCACTATCAAGGGTATGGTTTTCATGGCAACAATAAATAGCTGCAGATAACTATGGGGTTACTACACCTGACAGAGAAAATGTAGATAAACAGATTTAGATTACCATAGGGAAAATGACTGACAGAACATAATTCTAATGATGGGGCGACTCCCAAGAATCCGGAAGTCTAAAACCATAACAATGTGTAAGAGACTATAACGAATCAGTAATTCAGTAAATTCATCCCTTGTTTTTTTTGGTCAGAGTTCATGCCTTGATTCAATGCGGAAACGAGAGTATTCATTGAAGAAGATTTCATTTTGATACAGATGACAGATCAGTGAACACTAGAAGATTTGAATCATATCAAATGCTGGACTCTTAAAGATAATGGAGGCAATAGCTCAACAAGCAAGATAGGCATTGACGCAAAGGTGAGGCATAGCATTTAAGGCCCTCCCTCTCCTCCCAGTGAAAAAAGGGATTGAAGATAGAGTTTGGACAACAGAGCAACATATAGGGTTTATTACATCTGTATGGAGATATATAATAGATAGACAGGTACAGATACATCTTAGAGTGCCTTAGGGCCATTAATTACCTCGGATGCTGTTGCTGTTCGATGGAAGATTCTTGCTATTCCACGCTGAATGTCAGGTGACCTTCCTAAAGTAGTCAAAACCGAAGAAATCAAGTAATAAACCTCAGATCGCACAATAGTGACATCAGAAGCACCCTCGTCAAAGATAAAGTCATGAGCATCTGTACAAGAAACCATGGATTCCGCAATCTCAGAAACAGCATCAAGACGTGCATAGATCATGTTTCTATCACGTAAAGGGTGAGTAACCTGTACCATGCAGTAGAGCTCGAATCATGTATTGAAACATAAAGAATGCATAATCATATAATTAACCAGAATCAAATGCACCCCATACCCAGTGCCTAAGAAGCCTTGAACCATATATCGTAAGAGTATGATTCATACACTGCAGCAAGGAGCCAGACTCCAACCCATCAGAGGTACTCTTGAGAACCTAAAAGCATTTAACCCAATAATTAAGTATGAACACAAGGCAAAAGTGAAATTTTTTTTAACAGGGTATAATGCATGGATATAAATTTGTATTTAACTGAATATTTGAGGATTAGGAACTCTTCTAGCTTCATGCAGCTCTATAGTTGCCAAACTTGTAAATCTTAATGAAAAGAATAAGAACTGATTCTCTTCTAATAAGGTAAAATTGAGCATAGATCTCTTACATAAACTTCCTCATACTTTCAACTAGTTACAACTGATACAAAGTTTATACCACCATGCTTTGCACCAGGGGGACAAGTTGCAAGCCCCATGGAAGCATGGACAAAGCATGCTAAGTCTTTTTTCATGAACACGGTCAATATGTCTATTTGACATATTCAGTTGCTATCGCCAGTCATGGTTTGTGACATTGGTATGAATAAGACATATGTTCAGACCTCTATCAGTGATACCAAAAGATGCGTAATTGCATACAGCCGGATATATTCAGTGCGTCTCTCACCTCTAACTGTTGAAGTGTATTGGCTGACAGCGTCATCTCCATGTTGCTAGAGAAGGGCCGAAAAGAAGCTCCCATGCACAGTATTCTTTCAAAACCGAATTGTTTTAAATGACGAATAGTCAAGGCCAAAGCTTGGACGGCCAAATCAGGCATGGCCATAATTCCCTTCAAAATTGAAATGTATAACCAGAAAGCTTTAAAAATAACAAAATAGTAAACGACACACAACAGGAAAATATATGGGAAAATAGCAGCTCACTAATTCATTAATTTTAATTTAAGGTTTCAATTCCCTATTTTCCAATATTTTGTTACCTGAAATATGGCCAACAAAGACCTTTGAGGAAACTGAAAGTAGCTGGCAAAACCTTGAAAAAAATGGAGTTTTTTTTTCCAGTAATTGTGTAATTACCACTGGGGTTTTGCACCCAAACATAGGCATACAAGGAAACTTTTTCCATTCATGGACAATAAATAAACTGAGTTGTCAGAATGAATCAAGTTGGAAACTATAATTGACTATTAAGATATCCGCCGCATAGGTGGCAGTAGCCACTTGACAAAAATGTCCGCCCAAAGGTCCCAAACAAGTATTTTCTCATATTCACTATAATTCAGTTCATAAAGGAAATACATACATATCTGGACTACCTCAATTGCGAAGCGATTAAACCCCTGCTCTTTCACCTCCAAACCTTCGTCTTGATGATTATTCATGTTCTCGTACAAAGATATTACTTCAGCAAGTGCACCAACTGTACCGAAGCAATCTTGCGAGACACGCTCCACACGGACATTTGAGGCTGGTCCAGCATATGCTAATAGTAACTAAGGATAAAACATCTCGTTCAATCAGAAAAACTAGGTAATTAAAGAGAAAATGAAATATCGTGCTATAAATGGACACATGTCAATTCTGTTGATGTTGGGTTGGAAGAGAAAACTTATTAGATTACATGTTAAGTACATTTCCAAATCACATAAAGAGCACCTCAAACCATTTTGGTGGGGGAAGCAAAATTTATGGCACCAAAGTCTAAAAGAAATTGACAACATGCATGCTTTCCTGTGAATATCACCATCAATATTTAACAAGAAAAGGATGAATACAAGACCACACCCTGTTCCCAAACTAAACTTACCCTGAAATGATACCACAAAATACTGATCCTTCGTTTAAATATGAAATAGTTTAGAACATCTAACCCTGGGAGTCTCTTAGTCCAATGTAGATCTTGAAAGTGAAATTACTCCAGTTAGCTCCAGATAATCCCTTTGAGTTAAGAAGGTGTTATCATGCTTTGACCAGCAATATTGCCTTCCTCTTCACATCTTTGTGAATAACAATAGACTACTATTTTTTTTAGTAAAATCTCATCATTTCTAAGTGTTTATTCTATATAATTATTTTTGTCACCGAGTTAAAAGTTGGACAAGAAACTCGAGACAGAAATCCTTTTCTTAGTAACAGCCAACCAAGATTCAGAATAGCAACATCACATCTAAAGTTAAAAATAGGTTGATGTTTAATTTTTCCTAGAAGGAGGTTGATTTCATCAGAAAGCTAAGCATATGAGAAAAATTACAAGCTTGAATAATTTGAACTGAAAAATTCTTTTTCCTGAATGTCTTGATTACTGTTAATCAAAATGTAGTACAGCTGGTCCTGCCTGCTGAGTATACAGATACGAGGAGAAATGAATGATGCAGCCAACACCAAAAACTTGTGTCATAGGAACAACTAATATGATGTTGGTCGTAGAAACATTCCACAATTACCCCACAGCTTTGGCTTGAAATATACTATCATATTTATGTCCTCAACAAAAGGGGTAATTAAGAAATCAAACCATACAAGGCCCACTCAAATTCCCTAACTTCTGGGAAAAGTTTAATATTTGGCCCCATCTCGCACATCAATTCTTCAAAGCAAGACCATCACAAGCCTTACTCTTTCAGTGAAACTTAATGCTTATAATCTCTCAATCAACAGCAAGCCAAACACTTCACTCATAAAAAGGACTCATTTACAAAAAATGACAAGTGACAATTCCAAGATAGAGCTGACAACCGAGAATCGTATTTCTGTCACTGAAACTTTAATGCAAGTAAACGGTACCTTCTCTGTCTGTTTGGAGAGAGGCTCCCCAAGAAGCAACTCAGCAGGAGACACGCTTAACATTATAGCCTCAAGGCCAGCCCTCATAAAATTATCGTTGAACACCCCATAAACAACATCACCAGTGGAAATCTCGACCCCAACAACCCCAATCTTCGCATCAAATCCACTCTCAATGCCACCATCCACATTTTCCACTTCAACAACACAAACCATGTAATTATTACATGATCCACAGCCCTCCTCTCCACCCCCCACATCCTCTGAGGCCTCCAACGTCGCCTTCGTGTACAATGCCGATAATCCGCGACAAAAGGGCCCTAACTTGTTAGATCCATGAGCCTTAATAGCCGCAGTTTCTGTTTGTTTAACAACACCCACCTTATATCCGGCACTCACAAGTCTTCTAACATGAACATTCAACCGAAAAGTGGGTATACTTGCGGTCAAGAAATTGTGATCCATATGGGCAAAAATCCCCAACACTCTGGCAGCATTTTCTGCATCTTCGCCGAAAAATCGATACTTGTACCCAACTTCAACCATCAAAAGGACATCTGGGTACTTGGCCTTGAGCTCCACTACTTGTTGCTCCAATGGGGTGTACTTAGGATTTGAAATTGAGGGTTTTGAAGTGGAACAAGGTTCTAGAAGGTCATGGGATGGTTCTAGAAGTTTGTTTAGAAATCTTTGGTGAAGGGTGGGATCTGATTGAGGGGGTATGGGGTTGTGGGTGTGGGGTGAAAGCTTAGGGTTTTTTGTAGGTTTGTCGGAAAAACGTTCAAGGGAGGGATTGGCTATGGAGGGTTGAGGATTGTGAGTATGGAAATTAGAGAGCTTTGGGATTTTGGGAGTTTTGGTATTAGGGGAGGTGAGTTGGGAAGTTCTGAGGCGTTTGCAAGGTGAGAAAGTGACAGTGGCTGAGATTTTCGGGGGAGGGGTAGGTGGGTTTGGCGGAGAAGATTGTGATGGTGAAGCGGAAGTTGAAGTGTTTTTGGGTTTTGGAGCAAAGAAGCGAGAAATCACCTGTTGCTTCTGCTTTCCCATGGCGGTGGTGGCCTCTAGCGGTCTCTGTTTTGGGAGTCTTTTGGCGGTTTGGGACGAAGGGCGGTTATATATTGGGTGGTTGGTTTGGCGCGCTCTCCAATTTACGGGATGGGACTTGGCATTTTAGAATTTATAGGGTACCAAAAAGTAAATACAATATAGAAGATTAAGAATTAGGATCAAATTTGTGTGAAATTTCGACTCAAATATAATAGCCTAATAGATCACCACCATTGAATAAGATTGTTTAGGTGTGATTGGGTTAATAATATTTTTAATCCCTAATGTACACTTTGCTGGTTTAGTCTTTAATGCATTATTTTTATTAATTTAGCCTCTAAATTATGTAATTCTTGTTTAAATAATTCCTACACAAATGAACTGTCAAGTTTTTAATAGAATGATTACGTAATACCATTTGAAAAAATGACACATGGTCATTTTCGTTAAAAGACTAATGACCCATCTGTGTAAAGAGCATTTAAACACAAATTTAAAATTTTCAGAGACCAAATGGAAACTTATTGGATCATAATTTTAATCACTTGGAATCATATAAATTGACCACTAGATTTTTAAAATTGTTTCAATAAATGCAGAAGTCTATTTCTTTTGTTTTTCTTTTTCCAGAAGGTTATATAATTCGTTTTTTCAACTCATCGATTAATAATTAAATCTTTATTCTTTGGAATAAATTATTAGACTAATGGGAAATTTTCAGACACTCCAAGATAAGCAATACGTGTATTCGGCGTTAAGGAAAATATTATCTGTTGTGGTCACGACACGTGCTCGTTGGGCCATGATCCCCCTTCACCCGAGGAGGGTACTAGGCATAAGGACCTACGACACTGGTATGCACGGGGGGTTCGACACGTATTCTTCAGTCGAATAGGGGGTACGTCGGTCCCTAACCGTACTAGGCCCTCGGCACTGAGGTGTATCCACTACATCGGCGTTCTATTCCTGCAAGGTTGTTGATAGACAGGACATCAGCCTGGGCTAGTCTAGATTAGCCATCGTGACCTGGTCCTACCTAGATGGCGTCAGAACGCACAGGAAAGCAGAGGACTAAACCAAAGGGGAGCCGGTGCGTGGCATACTGTGCCAGAACGCTCTTACTGACACACGATTTGGAAAAACAAGTATTTAATGCATCTTTCCCTTGATGATATAGCATTTAACGCGTAATGACGAGGAAGTGAAAGACAATAAATGCTCCAGTAATTGAGCATTTAATACATCCTTACCGAGTGAGGGTCATTAAACGTTCGACAGACCGAGGGTGATACATTGGTTGCTCGGGATCCCGAACAGTTAAGAAAGAGGTCATTTCTCCTGAAGACCAGTATGCACGTTATCCACCTCTAATGATCACCTATTAACCACACTGACAGCAATCATGAGTTTTGAATGTATAAATACTCCTCACAAAAGGCAAGACGGTACACAAAAACCTTTTCTCAAACCTATACACAATGTTTTCTTCTTCCCCTCTCTCAAAGAACTGACTTGATCGCCGGAGGGGATACGTTGGAAAACACTTTGGCGCCATCCTAACTCGTTTTTCTCTGTTTCAGGAACCTCCCTTGGCCTTATTGGACCGCTCCGATGACCCACAAAAGTCACCCATTACCGTTCCAGGCTGCCACCGGATCTCACACTGTTCCAAACAACAAGGTTGACCATTCGATTGACCGACTCGTGTTTACCACGGGAGAGATCTGTTCTTGTGTGTATATTGTGTAAGATCCTGCACGCACATAGACAAAGAGCGAAAGATAGAGTAAGAATTACAATCAATTTTGCTATTATTCATTACAGCTGCTGTTGTCATTGTTGTCGACTGCTTTTAACTTTTTACTTGGCATGACTAGTTCTATAGAATCTCTTGCATGAAGAGATTAAGCATCGAGCTAAGTTCTTGAATCACAGTCGATCATTTTGTTACGAATTCACTTCTGTCACTAGTCTTGTCTGTGGTATTTCCTTACTTACAGTTAAGGTAACGACTTGTGACATGACCAACTCTCATTGTATGACAGGCGGTGTGTACAAAACTCGGGAGTGAATTCACCGTTGTATGATTGATCGATGATTAATAGCAAACTTTTCAAAACATCCAAATAAACTAATATGAAGATTTATACCAAACCAAGAAAGTTTGAGGAAAAATAATTTTTTTTTTATTACAGGTGTCAAAGCTTGTACCAATTATTTCTCAATTTCGATGGATATTATCATGTCTTGAGTTGAGTTAAACAATGTCCTTCGATGATTGACCACTAAGAGATGTGAAAAAAAATTAAATTTATAATCTCTGAATTATTAAAGATTATACTCAACCACTTAACTATTTTTAAGGTTGGGAAAACGACTTGATTATGCAACGTGATGATTATTGATTCTTTGATTCATTCGTTTTGTGCGTATTATTATTTTGCCACTTTCCGCTACTTTTGGATCACAGCACCCATCACTTGTGTGGGCACTCCAACCCCATAATCGTACAATACATATGTCACCAGAACTTTCATATCCTTCGTTTGGGTCCAAGTCCAGGGCAACAACAACAACATATATTCAGGGAGAAGGAAGTTAATTTTTTATCTATTCCAACACCACAATTGGTACATGCCTTGCTCCTTAGAGCTCAAAATATCATTCCTTTTGCAGCAATGCACCTTCAAGCAATTGAGACAGATACATGCCTACATTATCACAACATCCCTGAACCAAAACACCCGAATTCAATTGAAGTTTCTCCGACGAACCACCGAATTTGGTGGAATGGATTATTCACATTTCGTATTTACTCAAATGGATAGTAAATGTAACACAAATATCACCCTTTGGAATGCCATGATTAGAGGCTATGCTTACAATGGTCCATCTGAGAAGTGCTTATCGATGTATGATGAAATGCCTCACAGAGGACTCAAACCCAATAATTTTACATACCCATATGTCCTAAATTCGTGCTCTGAGTTGGGTTGGTTTAGAATAGGAAGGAAAGTGCAATGCCAAATAGTGAAGACTGGTTTTGAGTGTGTTCTTGCGGTTGCCACTGCACTTTTTAATCTTTATGTAAAGATGGTTGATTCTTTTGGAGTGAGTCTTGCCAAAAGCGGAAGCATAAATGATCTTAGGAAGATATTTAACGATATATATTTTAAGCCAATAGAGTTATGGAATAAAATGATTTCCGAGTATGCAAGTGTTAGTGATGTCGTGTCTGCGGTACAGTTGTTCGATGATATGTGTGAAAGAGATGTTGTTTCTTGGAATTCAATGATCTCGGGTTATGCCTGGGTTGGCGATATAGCAAATGCAAGAAATTTTTTTGAGAGGATGCCGGGAAAGGATGTAGTGTCTTGGACTACCATGATTGGGGTATATGCCAGTTGTGGAGACCTTGAGACAGCAAGAAATTTTTTTGAGAAAATGCCGGAGAGGAATGCAGTTTCTTGGAATTCTATGATTTCAAGTTACACCCAGAATGGGAATTTTGAAGAAGCATTGACTCTTTTCGCACAAATGCAATTGGATGATGTGGGTGCAGATGGGTTCACCTTTGTTTCAGCTCTGTCAGCTTGTTCCCACTTGGGTGCCCTAGAGTTTGGAAAATGGGTACACTCTCTAATCAAAGATTGGCCTAAATTGGCAGTTACAGTAGGAACTGCCGTCACAGAAATGTATGCCAAATGTGGAGATGTTACTAGAGCTTTTACAACTTTTATTAAAATTGGAAATAAGGATGTGTTTTGTTATAATGTTATGATCAAATCACTAGCTATCCATGGAAGAACAGAAGATGCTGTCAAAATTTTCTGTTTGATGCAGAAGAGAGGACTGCAGCCAAATGACTTCACGTTTAATAGCGTTTTGTTCGCTTGTAGTCATGGTGGTTTGGTAGAAGAAGGTCGAAAGATATTTTATAGCATGGAGAGAGCTTTTGGGGTTAGTCCAAAGCTTGAACATTATGGTTGTTTGATTGATTTACTCTGCCGAAATGGAAAGCTGGAGGAAGCAGATTCTACAGTGAAAGCTATGCCATTCGAGCCTGATGTTGCTATTTGGGGAGCTTTACTGGGTGGTTGCAGGGTAAGAGGTGATCTCAAGTTGGCGGAGCACATAACAGAAAGGGCCTCTGAGTTGAAAGCAAATGAATCTGGAGTTTATGTTCTCCTGTCCAACATGCACGCTTCAGTTGGTCAGTGGCCAGAGGCCTTGCATACTAGAAATAAGATGGAAGAGAAGCGCATATATAAGAGAACAGGGGGGACTGTCATTTTATGAAGCTGATTTTGGATGCCCTGAGCTTCCGTAACAAACAAAACCTTAATGTTGGGGAAGGGAATTTGTAAATGGAAGATTGTTCTGTCATGAATGCTGTTTTTTCCATTTAAATGAATGATAATTCTCAATTCTCATTCTCAGGATTACAAAAACAGGCACACCGACATCAATAACACTAGTGATGACTAGATCAATGAATCTTCCTTCAAACTCTCTGAGTCAGCACATTACCAAACTAGAAAAAGCTTATAATTCTGATGAATGTCATAAACAACATACAACTATGGTAATTCGAGCAATCAATGTCCAACAAATACACATCTGATATAAGAAGGTTTATAACTACTCAGTTTAGATGGATAGAGTAAGTCACAACGCCAGTCAGATTTGCTTCAGTCATCTGCAACACTTAGCATTGGCACACTAGCAGGTCTAAAAACTTTTCTGGAGTTCAACCAAGACATATGAGTCATTGGAGTCCCTCAAAAAGTTATGTTTGAAGCATGCTGAACTGGAATCTAGACAGCTGCTGGGGAATGGTGGATATAACAGGCCCATATCTCTGCCACAAAGTAAAAAATGAATCCCATAAGATTCTATAAACAAAAAATGGAGATTATTTACACCATTAAAGCTGACAGTTGGGGTGGGAAACAAGGAAATGATCCTGCCACATCTAAGACAGTAGATACTCGGTTAGGGAAACAAAAATAAACAAAGGAAATCACAGCTGAGGCAAAATGGCTGTTACAATTAAATAAAAGTTTCAGAAAGGATTACAATTTACCTACTGTACAAAAGGGCATAATTTGCCTCTAATATATTAGTAGATGATAAGACTAGACTATAAAAAGTTGGTGCTTACAATGTAAAAGCTCTGAGAACCATAGTTATTACTATCGTACTGGTACGCAGCGTATAGTATGATACGTCACGATACACCAAAAAAACGATACGTATCGTGTCTCTGTATCGTTTTTGCACCATATCATACGATACATCCGATACGTGACGATTATGTTTTTTATTTTTTGGGGCTGAAATGACATTAGTTTACCCTAAAACTTATTTTTAAATCACTTGCAAGTGAAACAATAATGTTGGTTACTAATGTTGTTCAATTGAATTCAAAATTCTTGATTAATATGAAGATTATTCAAACAGCTGATGTTAGAAATTTGAATTAGAGGTCTTTCTATTTTTATATTACTGAATTATGTTGAGAACTTGAATAATTGATGAAATATTAATAAAATTTTATATTATTATGAGTCTATGACTTTTTTACAAAGGTATATATATATATATATATATATATATATATTATATGTATTTTATTAACAATTATTTAAAAATTAAAATTGTGCATATCTTATGATACACGATCCACTATACGATACACTATTTTTGAAAAATGATACGTCTTCTGATATGCGAATTAACAACTCTGATGAGAACAAAAAAGCTACAATTTATATTACCTGAACATTATCATAGAGCTCAAACAACGGGACAGCAAGAAGTTTCAAATTTTTTGGAACGGCAAAGTACTCCCTCTCAGACAGGTGAACAAGGAAAAGTTTCTTACACTCCTGCATTACCAAGAAAAGTGCCAACTAACATCGTTAGCCAAATAAGAGGATGGGGTGAAGGGTAAGTGTAATGAAATAGGAAGAGAAAAATAACCATAAATTAGACTTAGCTTGGATCTATTATCCATTACCTTGGGTTTTGTTATATGTGGAGGACAGTACGGGTACATTATGGTTTCGAAATTTGGCCTCCACCAAGTAGCCACACACTCACCTATCTGCAATCACATAAAACTACAAGTGTAAGGAACACAAATCAACGAGCATCCTAAAGAACATAAACACACATTACCCCAGCAAAAGGGTACACGGTTGATACAGGATAGCTTCCAGCTGAGTTTCCCAAACACATCACATTACCATGCTTGCTAATTTTTGCAATCTCACTCCATTTTTGGGTATTTTTACCACCCTTTCGTTTGCTACCCCCACTAAGTTCTGGTGAATTTCATTACACATTCCTAGTATCCACATATATTACCCAAATCTCTTAAACCTATGTCCAGCCTCAAAACAATACCTGCCAATCTGGCTGAAGAGAAGGTGAATTAGCAGCAAGTTTGCTGGAAAGTTTTCTTTTTAATCCCTCAATTTCTGCACATTATAAGAAGAGCATGGTTGAACATAAAGATCAAAATCAAAATGCACATAGTCAGAAAGAGAATAAAAATGGTCAATGAGAGAGAAAAATAA